AGGTGGCGATGAGCGTGTCGGCGGACGTGACTCAGACTGCTGAGATGGGGACAGGTTGGAAGAAGAGGTAGACGGCGGTCCAGCTGTCGGTGTCGTTTGAGGGCTTTGAGGAGTGGCGGCAGGGGCAGTGTTGATGTCTCGGTAGCTGAGAAAATCTAGTATTGTATCCGCTAATAGACAGTCTTGCTCATGGAACTTAAGCAGATCTTTGTTGCTTAGTTTTGCGGCTTTGTAGGGTAACATAATCTCTATTTCGCAGATTAAGCAGGTACATATATATTCTTGATCCTTATTCTCTTCCGCGTATATGAAGCCGCATGTTGCTAGCTGCGTTGGGGATGCAGCTACGCATTTCCATGTAGATGGGAACGTGGTGTGACGTGACCGAATTGTTCGGAAGGATTGCGACGCGTTGGACGATGATGGTGAATCGGTTCGGCATGGGTAAGACGGTGACGGTGAAGCGGTTCGGTGTGTATACGTGTTCGATGGCGGCGGCGAGGTAGGTCGGCTCGATGGAGGTGATGCAAGTGACGATAGAGTCTCAAATATATTCGAATTTGCTCCTGCTGCCATTTTGGGCGCTCCCCCGGTTCTCTAGGAGAGAGAGGGGGGGGGTTTAGGGTTAGGTACCGGTACTTATCTTGCAACCCCCTCCTATCTTTCTCATATAGCTCTGGAGAATTACGATCAACTCTGAAGATAGATCTGTATAGGCTTTGTGGCCGGCAGATAACTTGTGCGAATGTAGTCCTTATGGACATACTAAGAGGGAACTTGGTCGCTGTCGAGAAGACACGGCCCAGCAGCCTCGTTTTCGTTAAGCAATGGTGATTTGCTTGAATTCGCTCTCTTCGCGGCGGGGGACAGTTTCCTAAGCACGGCCATATTTCAAAGGGTAGTTAACTAGTAAGCCTGCTGTGCAGGAGCTAGTAGTAATGCTACATTTCAAGGACATTTATTTGTCTTCATAAATACCCTATTTCTGCAAATGAGTGGAGAAATCAGGAAGCTAAAAAGGAGGAAAGCCCATCCAATCCTCATCCTTTTGGAAATCCCCCCTGCTTCTGCACGGCATCAAAACTTCCCATGAAGATGGAGAAGTGCCGCTGTTAAGAATCCAGGCCGACAATTTGCAGTGGATTCTTCTGTCTTTCCCGCATCATCATCAGACTGGAAACCGCCAGCTGCCTTGCCATTGGCTGACCTAGAGATTATCTCGGGTTTGGAATGGGAGAAGAAACCACCACATAAGCCTCCATTAGTCAGTATACTCGAGAGAGTATGTGGGTACTAAATTAGAGGATTCCGTTCCAATAGGGATAAAAAGCCCCAAAATAACCGCAGGGGTTGGCTCCCTCATGGCTCTTGGTGCAATATACTCCCTAGCGTGAATGAAGTTTGAGAATATAAATGATGAGGGGGTGGTTGGACAGTTCTGTCGAAGATATATTATTACAGACCCAGGCATTTAGCAAAAGAATTTGGCAAGGATGATCCACTCGAGTTCGAGTGAATCAAAGGTGGTTTTTGCTTTCGAAGCAAGCAGACCAAAAGTGAAACCTCCGTAGGCGGCTCAAACTCGATTCTCATTAATGACGGGCATGGAATTATCTCGAGTTACGGCTAGGCGAACTAAAAAAGGACAATAGACTAAAAAACGCCAATTGTTATTTTACAGATACAGAAGGGGATGGGTGTGGCAGAGCTTATATAGTAGCTATCATAGATCGGGAATTCAACTCTTCTACTCCTTGCAAACGCTCTGTTTGGTCTATTTATGTTCTAATGAATCTACGAACTTTATGCCTTTTGGTGCACATTTGGTTTAATACATTATCGCTGGAACCTAGAGGGAGAGCTAGGTAACTTTCATGTAAAGAGTTGATATTTGTATCGTGCGAAGAAACTTGGTAATTCAAACCTAAGCTACCTCGGCGGGTTTTCCGTCACGGTTTCCAGTCTCTCTGAGAAGTTAAGAGTAGAGTCACTAGGCTCTTCTACGTAAGTGGAATAAAGAGCGGAGCGGAAGTGGGTCTAGGACCGCCAAGTGTCCAAGCACCACGTGTATTCACTTTATCCGGAAGGTGTTAAGAAGTTAATAAGCGGAGCACTTGGCACGACAAAATTAACCTTTGGGCCTGCTCTTCTCGATAGTTCTCCACTTTACGCCATGATCTGGGACCTAAGCAAATAATACTCTAGCGATAAGTCGGTACCGCCGCGATATGGTGACACAGTCGCAATTTATCCAGACTTGGGTGAATCTATAAATGGAGGGCTCCCCGGTAATCCAGGCCTCTAATTTCCTGGGGATCCCATTGCAGGTGCAAACATTCTCTGAACATGAAGCTTCCTGGCAGTTTACTGTTGGCGAGCACTGCGCAACCGCTCGCTGGAGCACTTGCGTGGACGAAATACAGTGATAACCCACGGCCGCTAGTGTCTTCGGGGCCGCTTCAGGATGCAATCACTACTAATGCGTAAGTGGTGCAATGTTGGAGTTTGAGGCTCCATAACCCAGGGTTTTACTTACCTTTATAAAGCCTCATGGCAAATCTTCAAAAGCTCGATTCCATCGGCAAAGCAAACGGTGGAAATCGCGCTTTTGGATTGCCGGGATATGCTGCATCGGTCGAATACATTCTTTCTCGTACTGAGAACTCCTCAAATTTCATCACCTGGACGCAAGACTTTCCCGCACTATTCAACCAAATCCAATCCATAAAATTTACTGTTGAAAACCAGTCATACTTCGTTCTAGGCCTACAGTATTCACCCTCAACGTCAAAAGAGGGGTTGACAGCACCTCTTGTACTTGGCGCGGCTGGTGACAAGGGATGTACGGCTGAAGGATACGCCAACATCGATGTGAAGGGAAAGATTGTGCTCGTCCAACGAGGTTCGTGCCCGGACGGGTCCACATTGGCTGGTCGTCTTCGACCTGCGGCTGCAGCAGGTGCAGTCGCGGTAATAATCTACAACAATGCAGATACACCTGTAACTGGGGGTACACTTTCAAATCCCGATCCAGACAAATTTGTTCCTGGGGGCTTCATCAATCGAGTGGACGGATTGGCTCTAGTATCCAAGCTCGAGAATAGAGGGAGACTTGAAGCGTATTTTCAGCAGACCCAGGTCTTTGAAACGCGAATCACTCAAAATGTATTCACCGAGACTAAGGATGGTGACCCAAACAACATCGTCATGCTTGGTGCCCATCTCGACAGTGTCCAAGCTGGCCCAGGTATCAATGATGATGGGTCAGGCACAAGTCTGATCCTTGAGGTCAAAACTGCACTGGAAAATTTCAGTGTCAAAAACAAAGTCCGCTTTGCCTGGTGGGGCGCAGAAGAGAACGGATTGCTTGGATCAGCTTACTATACCAAACATCTTAATGCCTCAGCTGCTTCGAGTATCCTAACCTATTTGAATTTTGACATGGTTAGTCGCGGGTACTTTGGCGTCTTCGACGGAGATGGGAGCACGCATGGTCTCGCTGGCCCTCCTGGATCCGATGTCATCGAGAAGACATTTGTTGAGGACATGACAAGCAAGGGTATCAACGTTACTGCTGCAAGATTCACAGGCGGTAGCGACTACGCCAGCTTCATGTCCATTGGCAAGCCAGTCGGCGGTCTGCACACCGGAACTGGCGTTGAACAGGACCCTTGTTACCGTAAGAAACTCTTCTCGAGGTCCCTAGGTGGTGCCTTGTCAGTGCTAAAAATTATCTAGACCAAGCCTGTGATACGATTAATAATCCCAATCCAACGACACTCACCATTAACGCAAAGGTCTGACAGCTTTCGAAACATATTGGCGAAGCAATACTAACGAGTACATTAGGCTGCCGCTCACGTCCTTTCTGTGCTTGCTACAAAAGGAGAACAGATCATTCCGAAAAGCCCTGTGAATAGCACGACGATTACGAGCCGAGGACTGACAAGGACAGAAATTGAATGGACAACAATGGAGGATGACAAGCATCTAGCTACTTGTGGACATGACGTCTAAGCTGCCCAGCTGTGAGATTAACAACGCACCGAGAAGGGATGGAGGGTAGAGAGAAGCTCGTATAGAAGAATATGCGGATATGAAAAGCCGAAGTTTCGTTTTGGTGCCCGAAATGGGCATAAATTAATGTGACTCGAAAACATTGCAAATTCTCCCACCGTAGTGAAGGAGTTGAGGCCACTACCAAACCAGGATGACATCATCTCACCTCAACCATCAAATGTACTGTCAGATCGATTCATCAACATCCACTCTCCACCCAAAATATAAGTGTTAATAGCTAACTACAGTCTAGTTCTGTCCTTCGGTTTACCTTTTCGAAATGCGTCAAATTTGGTGATCCAGAAGCTGTCCCGGCAGCCGTCGAGTCGAAGAACGCGACAATTCCCCATTCCTGGGTCTGACACTCAGCTAACCAGATTATAGGTCCCCTATTTCCATGAAATTTAACAACACAGCTTGGATTCTCACTGGTCAAGGGCTATCTGATCAAGCATTGTTGTGATTGCCGAACATGCCTCTGATCGGACAGTATGATGGTTGGATAGAAGACATCAGCGGCCCCTCAGCGGGATGACTGCTAGGCTAATTCATCCATAAATTCTCTCCTAATGCCCCAATCTCCTTTAAAATCTTGTTTCATTGCCTGTTTATCATCACCCTTCTCGGCGTTTCCCTCCTCTCTATTACGATGTTGAACCATCTTGTCGTCAACTCTTACAATCTGTGGGTTGTGGTATTCGTGGGCATGGGCACAATATCTACAGCCTATGGCCTAGCAATTATTTGCTCGACTGTCGGGCAACCAAATTTCTACAGCTACTTTAATTTAGCCTCAGCAGGGGAACCAGGTACGAGAGCATATGACCTGGCATCTTCTCACTTCCATATACCCCATTGCTTCACTTTCCACGAAACTGAGGTATATTATAGGATATAATCACACCACAAACACGATCGGAGCCCTGAATGGCGTAAATAGCGCTGGTGCGATTTTCGGGTGTTTGCTCAACGCATGGACTTGTGACAAGTACGGGCGCAAACGATCCATAATGATAGGCTGTATAGTCTTGGTTGCTGGAGGGGCTCTGTGTTCGGGCGCAGTCGACATTGCCATGTTCCTCATTGGCCGTTTCATCGCGGGATTAGGAGCTGGAATGCTAGCTTGCGCCGTGCCTATGTACCAGGCCGAAGTCTCGACCCCAGAAACGAGAGGTGCCATGGTCTGCATTACAGGTATTGCATATGCGCTAGGTTATTCGCTAGCTGGATGGCTAGGCTTTGCCTGCTTCTTCCTCCCTGACGACTCACCGAATACTTCATTCGCCTGGCGCTTTCCACTGGCATTCTAGTGCGTATTCCCACTTGCTGTACTTGCTGGCTCAAATTGTATACCTTTTTCACCACGATGGCTCCTACAGCAAGGACACCGGGAAGAAGCTCTTGAGATTGTCAAGAAACTGCATAGGACGCCAAAAGATCCCGAAAACATTAAAGCGAGAGAGGAATTCTGTCTTATCGAGAAGCAGTACGAGCTTGACAAGGCGATACCAGTTAGACTGCTTGAGCTATTTCGGACCAAAGCAAACCGGAAGCGAGCGCTCGTGGGGTTCCTTCTTATGTGGGGAAACCAATTCCTGAGTATCTTCGTCATGACAAATTACGGTGTACTCATTTACGCATCCCTTGGCCTCAGTGGATTCGTTCCATTACTACTTAATGCATGCTGGACAACCTTCACCATTGTTGGAAACATCTGGACGGCTTTCTATATCGACCGGTTCGGCCGCCGCGCATTCATGTTAATTGGTTCTACCGGCTGCACAGCATGCGTCATTTTCCTCTGTGTTTTGACGGCAGAATATCTTAATACCACGAATATTGCAGGGCTTCGAGTTGCCGTCTTCTTCATATTTTTTTTTACATCTTCTGGTGGTGCTTCTTCATCGACGCTACTCAGTACGTTTACATTGCAGAGATTTTCCCGAACCACTTCCGACCCCAGGGGGTTGCGTTTGGCCTTTCAGCTTTCTATGTTGCATCTGAAATAACTCTTGTTGGCGCGCCGGTTGCTTTGAATGCGATTGGGTGGAAGTTTTATCTCGTACTGATTTGCCCGTCTATTGTATATATCGGATTGATATACCTCTTGTAAGCCATTCCATAGATTGTGGAAAGGGCTTAGCTTGCTAACAATGACACAGGTTCCCTGAGACTAAAGGACGAACACTAGAAGAGATTGGAGCGTTGTTCGGCGATAAGCATATCGCAAGTCGCTGGTATGACATGAGCCAAGAAGAGAAGCAAAGAGTGGCCCAAGAGGCGTTGGCGGAGATGCCGGAGTCTGGAGAGGGTGACCGAGGCAATGGAGTCAAGTCTGAAACTACCAGAGAAGAGAGCGTTTGAATAGTTCGACCTGCGAGCCTGGTAGCTGGCAAGGATGATTGTAAGCATCAGGTGTCGCCTTGTCAACTGTCTATGTCTTAGAAGTACACGAAGCGACAAATCCAGCGTAATTTGTCCCTAGCATCCGACTAGCTACAATGCGTTCATGTTTCTGCAAGTCTGTGCCATTATTTGCTCAACGGGTCCAGGTACGATCGGCAAAGGGCGGAGTGTCAATTGCCGAGATATACAAGTGCTCCCCGCACAACATCATGTACCTGACATAGCACTTCTCCACCCCAGAACCCTGGAATCATCTCCCTCTGACATGATCAAGCTTGCATGCCAAAGCATTGTCACCGTTGCAGTCACATTGACCTACTATACTCTATCATTGGCGGCAATCGACCATTGTGCACTTTTGCTTCCTCAAACATGGGATCATCCTCTCAAGGACTATTACTTCCCTCTCGCCTATCCTTCAGGGACCCCATCTTGGTGAATGATGCGACTAAATCTACTATTTGTTTATCTTTTTAGCCTTTGGCCTCAGCTCCATGCATTGAAATGTTTGCCAAAGGATACATCAAGAGACCCTTGTCGGGCAGAAGCGAAAGATGCCTTCATCAGTGACCTTGTCACCAAGATGACGATACCAGAAATGGTCCTTCAACTACATTTAATGTTTGCCAGCAACGTCATTGGGCCCGCTTCCGATAACTCTCTCTACGACATTGCCATGCGCTTCGCTCCGGGTGCGGCACTCGGTATGATCCATGATTGGTATCCATTGGACAAGACATACCACAACGAATTGCAGCGTCTGAATCTCGAGAAAGCAAGGTTAAGAGTGCCGTTTATCCATTATGGTGAGTGCTTACACGGCGTCGCGAGCTTCAATCAGAGTATGTTTCCTCAGCCTATTGGGCTTGCGGCGAGTTTTGATACCGACTTGGTTAGAAGAGTTGGGAGAGCAATCGGAACGGAGGCAAGAGCTATTGGCATTCACGCTTGTTTAGCACCTGTGCTCGATATATGTAAGGACCCAAGGTGGGGAAGATGTCAAGAAGGTTGGGGAGAGGACAAAATATTGACTTCACATATGGGAGTCGCATTCGCTTCGGGTTTGTCGAAGAACGGGTCTTGGGCGAATGCTGACGCCGTCGTCCCAGTCATGAAGCACTTTGCAGCCCACGGGTCTGCACAGAGTGGAGGTAACGGGGCGCCGTTTATGGGACATGGCAACCGTGAGGTTTTGGAGGAGCATCTTGTGCCGTTTAAAGCCGCTTTCGATCTTGGAGGCGTAAGGGGTGTGATGATGGCGTATCATGAGTTAGATGATGTGCCTAGTCATGTGAATCCACTACTATACAGACAACTTGAAGAATGGGGTTTCGATGGCTTTGTTACTGCGGATGATACTGGTGAGTGTCCAGTGTTGGATAAGCTTGCTGCAATTAATCTGACTCTGAAAGGGATGGCTCAATTACAAATGGGACACCAAGTGGCGAAGTATCCTGCGGATGCGATCCAGCAATGGTTCAATGCAGGAGGGATGGTGCAGTATTACGATTACCCTCTAAAAACACTTCTCAATGTTCGTCTTGTAACCTCCCCCGATGATGCAGTAACTGACCAAATAGGCTACAATGGGCCTCGTGGCGAATGGCAGCGTTCAAGAAGACCTTTTGCGAGCTAAGGTCAAGCGCATCCTTGGAGTGAAATACGATCTAGGTTTATTCGATGAACCTTATATACTAGGCAAGATTGATCCCTACCAGCTCACCACGGACCATGTTCCTCTAACACTAGAGGCTGCACAGAAGACTGTGGTCTTACTAGAGAACAAGAATAAGACTCTGCCCTTCGATCTTGAGAGGCAGGGTCTAAAGAAGGTCGCTTTGATTGGTCCCTTCGGCGACATTCTCAACTATGGCGATTACGCTGGTCAATATGGTGCTTACCCTGTTGCAAACTCATCAACAATTAGGGAGGGCATTCTGAATCACCTTTCCGGGACAGACACATCCCTGGTCACGAGCATGGGAGCGAACACTTGGTTGTATAACGCACACTATCCTATTCCACCTTATCACCTTCTGTCTAGTGGTATGTCAGGAGGACTGTTAGCAACATACTACGCCGACACAAATTTCAGCCAGCCCCGGGTCCAACGAATTGAGACACCAACGATGACATGGGGACTATATCCGCCCCCAGGACTACCCTCCAACAATTTCAGTGTTATCTGGCAAGGAGAGCTAAATGTCCCGGTGGACGGTGATGTTGACGGATGGCTTGGTGTGGCTTTGGGACCGAATACCACTGCGAGACTATACGTGGACGGCGCTCTGCACATTGAAGTTCCGTTCACAAAGGAAGGAAACATCCTGTCTAACATACCAGGTCGCTCTTATTCTTTGGATAATGCCACGCTGCCACCACCAGGATCAAATGCGTTTACGTTTCAGCCTGGTAAGGTACATAAGATTCGCCTGGAGTATCAGACCTGGAACTTATATCAGAAAATCGAGAATGTGGGGTCGTTGAATGCGCAGGTGCTGTTGTTTTGGAATCTTGTAGATCGGAACGCAGCGGTTGGGAAGAGCGTAGAGATTGCGAAACAAGCAGATGTTATCATGCTAGCTGTAGGAGGAGCGTGGAACAGCGATGGTGAAAGTGGCGATCGAGGGACGTTTGGATTGAGCGCGAATCAAACCGCTCTGGCTGATGCAATATTCGCCCTAGGAAAGCCGGTCGTGATGATTCTTCAAGGCGGAAGACCGTTCGCGATTCCAACATACTATGCCAGAGCAGCGGCCGTCGTAGATGCCTATTTCTCAGGCCAGGCAGGTGGACAGGCTATCGCAGACGTACTGTTTGGCACGGTAAACCCAGGAGGCAGAGTTCCGATATCTATCCCAAAGTTTGCCGGCCAACTACCCATTTATTACAACTACAAGCAAACGGCGCGGAAGAGGTACGTAGACATCGACGCCCTTCCACAATACCCCTTCGGGCATGGGCTCTCGTATACGACCTTTAAAATCTCGAATTATCGAGGCAGCACAATGCGTGGAAGCCAAAACTTCACGGTCAATGATACAATTGTCTTCGAAGCAGATATATCAAACACAGGACTCGTGGCGGGGTCCTATGTCGCGCAGATCTATCTTCTACAACGCATTTCGCAAATCACGCAACCTCTGAAGCAGCTCGTTGCTTTTCAGAGGTTGTACATAGGAGTGGGAGAAACAGTGACAGCAAGAATGGAATTGGAGGTTGAAAGGTATCTGAGGATTCTGAATAGGCGCTACCATTGGGAGGTTGAGAAGGGCATGTATGTCTTTGCGATGCTAGATAATGGGGGCTGGGATGCACTCTGGAATGGAAATTCAGGAGGAAATATTACCTTACAGTGCATCTAGAGGAGATGCTGGACGCACAGGGGGAGCTAAGGGGAACAAACTAGGAGAGTCTGGTGGTTCCCAAGAATGAATGAAGGACTCCGAGGTTCGGCTAATTTACGAGTGATGGTGAGAAGGCTTAAACTATGATGAACAATAGATGCAGTCTGCAGACGTGAGCAGTACCGGATCGTAAGACGATTGGATTTTCAAGGTTGAATCCATATTCTGCCGTCCACGTGAAAGACCCCACGCTTACCTAACAGGGCCAAGTGCCAAGGTCTACTCCCCAGTCCTTCACCCTTCATCTCCGCCATCGGCCTCATGAACGAACGCACGCAAGGTGACTCGTCCTGTCGCTTTCCTGTTTTGCAGCCGTTTGAGGCCTGATTCGTGGTTCGGCGCCTCCGCCATGCCCAATCAACCAAAAGCAATTTCCTAGGACGAGGTGGGGCCCCTCGCCAGCGCCAAGCTTTTCGCCGACGCCAACCACTTCCTTCATCCACCAACACTTCTTCATCCATCCCGCTATCATATATCAGCCCTTCGCGCGTTGTGGGCTTTTTCTATCCCCTATAGCTCCGCGGCCCAATTCTGCCCCCGCCAAGAAGAATAGTTCCACTGGTCGTCGAATGAAAGCTCTCGTCAACTCCATGCCGCACGCTAGCACTCGGAGTAGCCCGCGACTGCGACACAACCATCACCCATCACTTCCGTACCTACCCCTCAGCCCGTCCGCACCAAACGAAAGCGCCTATAGCAGAACACTGAAGTCCAAGCCGACGGAATAGAAGACGTACGCCGATTAAACGATCTAGGGTCAGTAGGTGCTGCAAAAATCAGGTGTTTGCTTGGCTTAGGGTCTGTATTTCAGTGGAAAGATGGTATCTTGAATATTTCGTTGGAGGAAAGGTGGAAGAATCGCACCCCTTGGGACCCTGTCGAGTCTCAACTCTGGTTTTCAGAGAGTAATATTGGTTTAGTGTACAGAGGGAGGAGCTAGACGCCATTCTGAATCAGAAGTTCTATAATTAATGTGAACTAAGCTTTAATTGCCTTCATTCTATGTAGAAATAACGCTTTAAACCTAGGATTTAAACAATAGTAATGATTTTGTCCCTAAGTATCTGCACATGTTCATGACCTCTTCAACCTAACGCACAAAGTGTAGACAATTACTAATCCTTGTAAGCTCGCCGGCCTTTGCCTTGTAAAATTCCATTTCTGCCCTAATTTAAACAATGCTGTAAACTTGCTCTAAGTTAACCTCTGTGCTAGATAGAAATAAACTATTTCAAGGATAGCGTACACTAGGCATTAAGAGAGTAGTCGCAAGACTTAGCAAGTGGTCGTAGTGGTTGCAGGCTTGGCCCTGCAACCACACCTGAAATGTTGCCACCACTGCGACCACCCTTAACTATATAGTCTTGATCTCCCACTTCCTGTAGAAGGTTGTGGTTATTCTTCACTTTAGGACACTGTCCTGGGTATAGCAATATACTTAATATCCTTTCTAATTAGAAGCGTGTGAAGACTATTATTCTATTTACAATAGTACAAACATATTAGTTATCTTACTCTCTACTCTTTACTCCTTCCTACTCTTCCCCTTTCTTTATTCTCTTTTAGACATTGTCTACGCCTCTCTCTAATAAGCAGGGATAGCAAGGAGGACTGTACACCCTCTAAGCGCTGTCGTAAGTCTAAGCAGTAAAGGCTCACCCCCTCTCACCTCTCCTCCCTCATCCACTCCACCAAGACCAGTTACTAGCAGAAGGCACCTAGCAATAGGAAAGTCGAGGTAAGATATTGTAACACACACCTACATGACTAGCAATAGAGTTGTGACGCTAGCCTAGCAGCAAAAAGCGATATATTTTAATTCTCTAGCGTAGATTAAGGCTGCAGCCTTTAGTTATAAGCTCTCCAGGGATCTTAGGAGCGCAACTGTAACGATTCTCATGAATCGTTCCATCTCGAGCCGCTCGGAACCTATCCGAAGGGTCCCCGTATCGGCCCCGACCCTGACTCGACCTTGTCCCCCGCGTTTACCCCTATTCCCCCAAGTATTTAGTCGCACCTCTCCCCTTAGCTAGCTCGGTAGTTTTCTGATATCCTTTCGTACGAGGCCTATAGGTGTCAATGGAATTCCCAGGTCATTGAGTCCCCACGCACTCCCATATGCCTCTGAGTGGATTCCTACCGCATTCGGACCCATTGTCTTGCCTGCGCCGTTACAGCAACGCGCCTACGCGGGCGTAAGAGGCCTTATAAAGACGCTATAGGCTTAAAATATAAAACTACAACTTTAAAAAACGCATTGGTATACCTCTTTACATATATTTATATAGCCTTAAGTTTTACTAATAATTATTAGATAGTTAGTTATTACATAATTCTTGTATAAAATAAGTAAATTTACAGTTTGTGTGTGAGTTTGTACGCGTGCAGGGAAAATTGTTGTGTTGCTAAGGAATTCCACTGATTTTTGCACGAGAAAGATCAGATATACGACCCCCGCCCCCATGTGTCCTTGCCAGGTACACTCACGCCGGGCATTTAGGTAAATGCAAGCCAGTCACCTTACCTGAGAACGGGTGGGGGCGATGTTCCAGGCCACAGTGCATTAGGGACTAGCTACTAAGGGAAACACCGCTAAGCTGTTGGGCTTTTTTGAAGGATTTGCTACCGTAGTATTGCGCGTGAGTCGCTCTTTCCCCTAGTTCTTGATTATTGTCTGATTGACAGCAGCTTTTTAAGTCTCTACCTACAACAAAGTCTAGGACTAACCTGAAGGCAATGCTCTGCTTGATGAGGCTTGCTTTCGCTTTTTCATGAGAGTGATGCAAGTTGGAGAATGGAGGGTTGGAGAGAAGAAATTCGAATACGATGCGCGTTTCCCGCTTTGCGTCCGTTCCCTGTCCAGACCACTTTTAGCCCCACTTTTAGCCCCACTTTTAGCGGATCAGATAACTCTTGTCGATCCTCCTGAGAAGAGAGAACCGAGCAAATTGAGAGCGATGTCGGCGCTGCTCCGAGCCCAGCCGAGTTTTATCAGATGGACTGATTATCAGATTGATAAAATTTTACCCGCTACACCTATTATGGAAGGTACACCGACTATCCTTTCATGGGCAGTCGCATCGCACATGGCCAGGGCCAGCCACTGTGGGTTGTTGGTCTCGTTGACCAGTTTCTGTTGCTCAATCATGGCATGTTAGACCCTTATTTTTTTAGTCACCTGCCGGGTACCCCTACATCGCTTCCGTGTTGCCTGTTGTTTTGGCCGGTCGTGTTTCCTTCAGAGTGAACCCGACTGCAGTCTAGCAGTTGGTCCATGACGGTGGAACCTCAATCACTGCAGGATAAGCCACGCTACTACCTTGTCACAACTAGCATATATAGTATCTTCCGCGGTCCCTGGTTTTTGCTTCAGCTCTCCAGAGCTTATCATTCCTTCCATACTCATCATTCCCACACCTCTATATTGCGCAATCTCCTGTCCTTGGTCATGCGGTTCTTTATGAAGACAGGCACGACCGAGGTGCCTATTGTTGTCGAGAATCCTGATGACAACACTTCCAACAACGACAAGAACCTGGAGGCTGGCGCGTCTCCAGTCCAGCAACAGTCGGTCGACAGTGATAGCGAAACAATATCTTCCGATGCTCAAGAAGGTGTTAAACAGATTGAGGCTGCTACTACAGTTTGGACCAAGTCACACTTGATTACTGCGTATATACTGTAAGCGATGTGTTAGCCCTGTTCCGAGAAGCATCTAACTCAAAGCGCTTTAGCATGTTCATCATCACCTTTATTGATGCCATGCAACAAGGCACAACAGGTAACATGACCCCATACGTTACTAGCTCCTTCCAACAGCATTCCTTAACGGCATATACGTCTATCATGTCAAGTATAATTGGTGGCATCTGGAAACTTCCTCTTGCTAAGATTCTCGACATATGGGGACGACCCCAGGGTTATGCGCTCATGGTCGGATGTATGATCCTTGGCTTGATCATGATGGCTGGCTGTAACAATGTGCAAACATATGCAGCTGCGCAGGTATTCTACTGGGTCGGGTATGTATAGTGCTTCAAGTCAATTCCAAGGAGAATGCTAATCAGGTATAAAGATTTAATGGTACCAGTTACACCTTGGGGATCTTCGTCGCCGATACTTCATCGCTTAAGAATCGAGGGTTCATGTTCGCCTATGTCAGCTCCCCATATATTGCCACGGTGTGGATCACTGGACCTTTGGCCACTGCGTTTCTCAATGGACCAGGTTGGCGCTGGAGCTTTGGAGCCTTCACGCTTATTACGCTTGCTGTTACGCTCCCTCTTTTGGCTCTTTTCATGTGGAACTATCGGAAAGCGAAGCAAGCGGGCTTGATTGTCAAACGGCAGAGCAATCGAACCTTTGTGGAATCTCTTAAACACTATGCCATCGAGTTCGACATTGGTGGCGTGTTGGTCATTTGTGCTGGCCTTACTCTTTTCCTCCTTCCATTCAGTCTCTACGCTCACGAGTCTGAGGGTTGGAGAGCACCAAAGATAATAGCCATGATTATCATTGGCGGAATACTCCTCCTTGTCTTCCCATTCTTTGAAAAGTATATTGCGCCGAAGACGTTTATTCCCTACGAATTACTTACCGACCGAACCGTTATTGGTGCCTGCGTTCTATCCGCGACACTCTTTGTCAGCTTCTACATCTGGGACAGCTTCTTCCTCTCCTTTCTACAAGTCGTCAATGGCCTGACCATCACCCAGTCTAACTACGTGGCCAACATCTACAGTATTGGTTCTTGCTTCTGGTCTCTCCTCGTTGGCATCGCCATCCGCTGGTCTGGTCGTTTCAAATGGCTTGCGCTCTACTTCGGAGTACCGGTCACCATTTTAGGTGTCGGATTGATGATCGCATTCCGACAGCCAGATGTCAATATAGGCTATATAGTTATGTGTCAAATCTTTATCGCCTTTGCTGGAGGGACCTTAGTCATAACCGAACAAATTGCCGTCATGGCAGCTACGGACCACCAACATATTGCCGTCGTTCTGGCGCTCGAAGGGATGTTCTCTAGCATTGGCGGTGCTATTGGACTCACTATTGCCTCTGCAATATGGGCAGATGTCTTCCCCGCTAGGTTAGCGGAGTACCTACCACAGGAGTCGCAGGGAAATCTGACTATGATCTACGGAAGCATAGTTACGCAGCTGTCGTATCCAAAGGGCACGGAGACGAGGCATGCGATTGAGAGGGCATATGGAGACGCACAGAAGAATATGCTCATTGCAGCGACTTCAATTTTGGTTCTTTCCATTGGCGCGGTGGCTGTCTGGAGGGATATCAAGGTCAAGGATTTCAAACAGGTCAAGGGTCGTGTGGTCTAGAGAGGCCTCTAATCTTGCTCGCGGCTTTGGCTGGGTATGATCAAACCCCTGGGCGAAGGAGAGAATGTCACGAGATGACCCTTCGGCGCGGTAATCGTGAAGTTTTGTATTGCGTAGGAGATGAATTGGATCGCCTTCACGAACTCAACTCAATAGTCTATCAAACCTACTAGTTTAAACCGTGTCTTGCCAGAGTATTTCGTCTCGAAAAGAGTGTACTTTACCCGCTTAGGTTAGTATTAACTAAACCGGGCCTTAGCAGTTAGGTAAGATTCCATTACGGCTGAAACAATTTCTATGATACGCGGTCAGAACTGCGCTAGTGTTGGACCCAACTGCAACCTGAGGGTTCTATTCTTCTTCTGCCATTTGGCCATCAGAAGATCGGCACATGCCCTCCCTGGGGGCTTATCTCAAGGGTATACGTCGAGCTCGAAAATGAATTGTCTCTCAAAATCTAGAATTTCTTAGATAACGAGGATCAGTGATGGTTTGAGTTGGCTGGTCGAGTTTGAGGCGGAAATGGGCGCTGATTAATCGCTTCCTTGATCAAGCTAGCGTGTTTCAGTGATCATGTGTGCGTCAGCCACCAAGCTTCTCATCAACTTCAGCCCTTTGGCTTCTTCCTTCTTGTCATGTTCTGCATACCATGCCTTCGACTGGAATCTGGAGGTTTATTCTATATGTTTCAGGACTATTTATATTCACTCTTGCCTGCTTGAACTCGAATTTTCTCTTCGGATTTGGCCCCCGGAGTTATAGGCAACAGCAAGCACCACCTGCATCTTCACATCGCCATGGTTTAAGGCTCCGACACGTCCTTCACCATGGTGCAGGACAACCGGGACCACGCGCGAGGAGGCTAGACGTCTCCGCTGAGACGAAAATAAATGCGCTCGCTGAACCCAGCTTCGGGGCCTTTCCCATAAAAATGGCCTCAATCCGTATCGACAGACCCGTACCAGACCTTCACGAATCGCAGCATTTTATTTCCCCTTCCTTGCGTTCGCAAGATGTTCCTGGTCCAGACGTTACCTGCAAAGAGACTATCATCAGCTTCGCCTCCATGGCTGAGGACGCATACCATCCGGATCCCTCAGATTCACAATGGTTAGACACCGGTGGAAAATACAACCAATCGATCCCCTTTGGATGGTGGGACCATGGTGTTCGAGGGCACGTTTTTGGCGACGAAACTAATACGACCATTGTGCTCTCCCTCAAAGGCACCTCCGTAGCTGTCTACGAAGGCAATGGAACTTCGTTACAAGACAAGGACAACGACAACCTCTTTGGTTCCTGTTGTTGTGGCCAAGGCGGGTCATATCTTTGGAGAAAAGTGTGTGATTGCCAAACCGGCACCTACACGTGCAACGATAAGTGTGTTAGAGGAGAACTGAGGGAGCCCAATCGATACTACGCAGCAACATTGGAGCTGTATGATGAGGTCATTCAACTCTATCCGAAAGCGAACATCATCACAACTGGCCATAGTTTGGGAGGCGTTTTGGCTTCCCTAATTGGCCTGCAGCACAGCGTCCCAAGCGTGACCTTCGAAGCATATCCTCAGGCTTTGGCAGCTACTCGTCTTGGACTTCCAGTATCTGGCGATATCTCACCGCTCCGGAAGAACACTGGCGGGTTCCATTTCGGACACACCGCTGATCCAGTTTACATGGGTACCTGCAACAGTGCATCAAGCTTTTGCTCCATAGGTGGTTATGCATTTGAAACGCTGTGCCATACAGGCCAAAAGTGTGTGTACGATGTGGTGAAGGACTGGGGGTGGAGGCAGAGCACTAGTACGCACAGATTGCGGTATGCTATTGAGAATGTCTACTCAAAGTATAACGAGACGCCACTGTGTCAAGATGAAGATGTAGATTGCGTCGATTGCTACTTGTGGAAGTTCGAGAATGGAACACACACAAAGCCAACTACGACAATCTTAGGGACCAGCACAACGACTACCAGGACGCGAACTGAGACTTGCAAAACTCCAGGATGGTGGGGATGTAATGACAAGCCAACTCCAACCACAACGGTTGAAACAACTACAAGCGCCTCGGTATCAACGACTTCAACGAATACTTGCAAAACGGTAGGCTCTCTCGGTAGACATTTCCGTGCCACGGGCTGACTTAGCTAGCCTGGTTGGTTCGGATGCAAAGATAAGACCACCTCTATTACCTCAAGTTCATCATCTATCTCGACAACGGCAACATGCACGAGCCTTGGTAAGAAACTTCTAGACTCGTTTTGAAATGTGCTTACGTATGCTTACAGGTTGGTTTGGCCGTTGTCTCGACCCTACCACCACAATTACAACTACACTAGCAACCGAGGCGGCGTACTGGAGGATGTCTCCTACACCCACTCTGGCCCCTTCGCAGCATTTTGTTTACGCATGAAATAAAGTATATACTAGCGAACGTTTCTTCTTCAACTATTAAAATACAATTATACAAACTAAGTAATATACCGGTAGTTAAGTTTCCTTAAGCATTGCTTAACTGACTACAATCTACTGGCCTACATTCAAGCATAGCACTAAAGCTAAGTCTACGTTCACACGTCAGGATATGATCGACGTATCTCATCAAAAGTGAGGGGATCGCAGGAATAGAGCCATGAGTACACCTCCAAGAGTGCCAGCGATAGGGATGGTGGCGATCCACGAAAGGAGGAGGAGGCCGACTCGCTGGAAGTTGACGGCCTTCAATGTACCGTTGCAGAGGCCAACACCGACAGTAGCGCCAGTGATGCACATGGAGGTAGATACGGGAAGGGAGTATTGCGAGAAGACGAGGACCGTGACGGCGGCGCCCATCTCCATGGAGCAACCTCTGCTTGGCGAGTGGTACGTGATCTTGTTGCCCATAACTATTCAACTAAGTTAGCATAAATCTGCAAGATAAACGATCGGGCTCCGCTTACCCTTCATAATATTGTACCCATAGGTAATAAGACCTAGAGAGATCATCAAAGAGAGGACAGCGAGCTGCCACAGGGGAACAGGAGCCTTGGAAGCAGCGGCGTTACCCGTGTGCCATGCGGAGTAGATGACTGCCCAGGGTCCGACGGAGTTTCCAATATCATTGGCACCATGCGCAAAGGAAGCAGTACAGGCGGTGAGAATCTGGACGAACGAGTATGTGTGCTCAACCTCGTTGGGGTATTTCTCTGCGTGTGCGTACACGCGCGCCATGCGTTCGCCCTCTGGGGTGCCAGCGATACCTGTCTGTGCGGCGTGGATGTCATAGTGGAGACCATAGAGAGCACCGCAGACGATCATGGCGGGAATGCGCTTTGCGAGGATCTTCATGTTGTGAAGCTCGTAGATCTGGCCAGCGCCCATTGGGTTGTCGCGAAGGGTACGCATTGCCTAATTTAAGTCAGTATCGATGATTGTTTTGGTAGTCCGCTCAATAAACGTACCCAGCCGAGTGGACCGCGTTTCTTCTCGAGTTTTTCATGAAGCTTCCTTTGACCATGAGCCAAGCGCTCTTTATACGTGAGCCCTTTTGCCTCAACCGCAACAAGGCTCTTCTCGTTGAGCTCGGCAGGGCTGTCTGTGCCCGACTCGGCCTTGCCGAGATCAGATTCACTATCGACCTCATCCTCCTGGACGACGGCATAGTTGGGAACATCTGCTACGTCAGCTTCGGCAGGCGCTGGGCGCCTGAAGAGCAGAGGGCCCTGAATAAACATCCACCACTTAACGGAGTGGTCTTTCTTGAGAACCTTTGCGTGGACGTAGGGAACGAAGAAGAGTGCCGAAAGGAGGGCGAGACCAGCTCCTGTCCCCATGGTAACCGAGACAATATACCAGATGGGCTTCTTGTTTAGGCCAAGCTTAGGAGATCCCTTGTAGACAATGGATAGTGTGCAAATCGTACCCGCAATGAGGAAAAAGAAGGGCGAGGTGTAGACGGCCCATTTTGTAGGCTTCTTGCGCATGTGCACGACAAGCTTAATAAGCATGAAGATAATTGCAGCAAAGCCGGCGGAAATGGTGGGAGCCTGCGATGATGGTTAGTAATGTCGAAAGGTTTTTAATAAGAGCAGCATATTATGGAAGAGCATAGAGCAGAATTAGAATAGGGTTGATCTGTTAAGCCTCCTGCTGGAATTGAAGAGTTCATCAGGAGATACCAAAGTATGCCCTAAAGCAGACCCTCATCATGTCCTGTCTTAGGTGCCCACATGTTGTGATGCACATGCCACCTGGTCGAGGACCTGACAGGGTACTATAGGACACACAATTGCGTTCTTTTGACGTTTCCCCTTATTCTAGCAAGAGAATAGGCAGATGGACTCCGTTCTGGGCATGATCCAGGTTATGTTTTAATATGCTGTACTTTTGAGAGTTTTACATACCATGCCTAGGCCCGCGAAGATAGCACCAAGTCCCTTACCCTTTGAAAGAGTTAGCTAAGGTCTACATAAAGGAATTAAAAGAACTCACCTTGTTCCAGCCCCATTGGACCTTACGGACGCCCACAGTCGCAACACCGACACCTGCGACGGCCGAAATAAGCGAGTAGGTGGAAGAGACGTGAGCAGAGTGTCGTGTGCACCACATGACCCAAGAAGACGCAGCTGCGAGCGCACACGTGAACGCAAGCATCTGGACGCTCGCATTGCCCTTGAAGGCGGAGACAGGAATGATGCCGTTCTTGATGGTGTCAGCCGTTCTTGCACCAACGGTGATGGCTCCAAGCATCTCAAATATGGTGCCGAATATCATGGCCTGTCGGTACGAGATGGATCTCGAAGAGACACTGGTTGCCCAGGCGTTTGCTACATCGTCTATCGGATTTATCAGCATCATGACCGTATAGCGAGCTTCGCTACTCACTTGCGCCGTTGTTGAAAGCATCGAGCATGGCAAAGAAAGTGCCGATGACGAAGACATGGGTGTATTTGGTGAGCACCATCTTGATTGATGGCGCACGTGTCGACTAGTGATAGCACTGTGGAGGAAAGAGAGTGACTGGGTATATGCTGGAGCCTGGGTTCAAGAGAAGAAGGAAGAGCTGGACAGCTTTTATGTACCATTTGGTCACTATTCCAGAGTCCCATTCGCAAGAACGCCCGTAGCCACACGACCGCCATTTTCGCAAAATACCTTGGCGTTTGCCAGTCGGTCTTGGGGAATGACACCCAAAATTGGCGGCCGGACTGAAAGAAGATCGTCAGTCCATGAAAATGCGTGAATTCTGAGATCTGGAGTTGAAGATTGGAATGTCGTTCGCGCATGAGGCTCTGGCCGTCCTTGGCTCTCGGTAAGCTGTGTCCCTATGGGAGTTCTTTGACGACCCACGTGCGTACGCAACATCGTCCATATGGACCGCCACGTACCATCTCTCGCCCAGCCTTGAGGCAAATTGAAGCAAATTCAAGAGGAGGCGAAGAAGAAGCCGAGAAGAAGCCAAGAAGAAGCTCAGAAGAAAGCAAGAAGAAGGCTGGAAAAGTGACAGTCCAGTACCGCATGGTTCGCTCCAAGCTCTTGATGCTCCTGCCCTACTGAGAGCATTGTGGACGCCGAGGGGCGCTGCGAGAACTAGAGTCGCCGAGAAAGGGTTCAGGTCGCGCGACATTAATCATTCGGGCCGTTAGAATTCTCTGCTGGGCTGCTGTGACGCTCAGTATCCACTTCGCTTTTTCACCTTGTGTGGAACATAGCCAGAGCAGAGTCTATCTCTAATACCTCTTACTAAAATCACAAAAAGTATTAGCAAGATGCGGATTTCTTGTCATAAATTGACTTGTTAGATGAATCCATCCAGAAAGCTTGTGTAGCACAAGTCCAAAGGCGAGAGGAAAGCTTGTTGCATACAAGCAAACGGGAAATAAGGAGGAATGCTGAGTAATATTTTATTCGTCACATGCTCAATGCCACAACTAGACTAGCTTTCGTCAGCCAAGCCGAACCTCTCCTTATCATCTACCTGGCTCGAGGTTGCAAATCTGCGGCTGCGCTCATGTTCGCCTATTATCACTTCCTCAAACGAGTCCTTTCGATCTTCTATCCTCCAATCGCCCCCAAAAGCAACGAAGTTCTCCGCTTCGGTATCCTGGGCGCTGCTGACATTGCGTGAGTCCAAATGAATGAACAACCAGACCATGCAAGCCTCTAATGGTGTGTCAGTCCATCGGCATTGGTAACCCCAGCAAAATCCCACCCTGAAGTTATCGTAGCAGCCGTTGCTGCTCGAGAGGAAAAGAAAGCTAAAGCATTCGCAAAAAAGCATGGAATTCCAGCTGTACACCTATGTTACGACGGTGTGACAACCCTACTTCGTCCTCTAGCTCCCGGCTTCTTCTCAGAGAGTTGGAGGATGATTGGGATGAACCTTTACTAATGTCCCACAGACCTCATTGCAGACCCGACCATCAATTGCGTCTATGTTCCCTTACCCAATGGTCTCCATTACGAGTGGGCCCTCAAGGCCCTCAAAGCTGGGAAACATGTCCTCTTAGAAAAGCCATCAGTATCTAATGCTGCCGAAGCAAAATCCCTCTTCAGACATCCCATATTGAGGGATTCAGACGCCCTAGTTTTACTAGAAGCATTCCACTACCGCTTCCACCCCGCTTGGCAATTATTTCTCACACTGTTCGATTCTAAAGAAATCGAGGAGGTCGAGGTGCAGAATTACCTTGCGGCGGGTATTTTCCCACTCGACGATATCCGGTTCAATTATTCGCTCTCTGGGGGGACGCTCATGGATTTCGGCTCATACGCTATTAGTGCCGTTCGCCAGATCTTCGGTGCCGAACCTACATTTGTGAGGTCTGCAAGCTACCGACCCATGCCGGAAGGATTCGATCAGACAGTCGATGAAGCCGTATACGCTACGTACGAGTTTCCAAATGGAGGAATTGCGAGGATAACGGCCGATTTGCAGGCGAGAGGTGGATATTGGTTTCCTGCTTTAACGAAGAATTGGCCGAGGCTCTATGGAGCATTACCCACGCTCTTCTTGAAGTTGAAACCGATAGAAGAAGCCGTGGGAAATGGGCTGGTGAAGGAGACGAGGAGGAAGATTGTCTTTCATTGTTATATGGGCCCTCATTTCTACCATCGGATCGACATTGGGACTACCACCAAAATCATTGACCCAAACAAGGGCAGGAAAATCTTGAAGTCCGAGAAGAAGACGGAGTACAAGAAGGCGTATAATTGGTTGAAGAATGAGGAGGGAAAGAAAGGTGAGCTATGGTGGACTACGTATAGATATCAGTTGGAAGAGTTTGTGAACCGGGTGAAGAAGAGACAGGGTTCTTGCGTTTGGTTCGATTCTGAGGAATCAATTCGGCAGATGGAAATGATTGATGCCACATATGAGAAGATGGGTTTGCCGCTGAGGCTAACCAGTAAGGAATTAGAGGGGGGAAGTTAGGGGCAGGGGAATCGAATGGAGTTAAAACCCCTTCCGTACCTTATCCTCTGTATCTTCAGAGAGATACATCTGTCTTAGATGTTGCGCGGATAGTGAATTTGAATGAGGTGTAAAACAGGGAGGGGGGAAATGTGGTGTTGCTTGTCAGGGTTTGAGACATAGCCCATGATATTGATGCGAGACTAAGTTTTAAGGAACCTGGAATGTAGTCAGGGTAAAGCAGGTACCCAAAATTGACAATAGCAATAACATAGTGTATCCATGAAAAGTTGGAACCTGGAGGCCCTGGCTCCTTCCGATTTCTTCAAACTTTTCTTGGGAGGGTAAGAACTGGATCTTAATCTAGACAGAGTTCCCTGAAGACTTTCTGTTTTGTCTTTGAATGACTCTCACAATCGGAGAAATACGGTACCGCACGTACTCTTCCCATCTATTGCACCTACACCTATAGCCTGTTGACGCGGAACGGTGCACACAGAGAACAACTGTAAATGAACTAATAGGCTTTGACCAGGGTTACAAACTCTACTAACGAGAGATGGGAACAGTATCAACGCCGTCACTGGCAAGTATTCCGTAGTCGCATGGCGGTCGTCAAATAGAAAAAAAGGGTGGCTGAAAGGAAAGGAAAAGTACGCGAAAGCCGTGCTACTTCAGCGACTGTGGCAACATGCACGTGTGAGGTCCATTATTCACGTGTCACTGAACTTGTAAGGTGTGTTTGCTTCAGTCCCATGTCGGCTCTCTCTCCTCCGAACCTCCGCTTGATTACGCCTCACCCAGGACTGGGTGCTCGGCCAAGCTGTCGATAAGGAGATCAGCGCCCTACGCAAGCCGGACAGACATGCCCAAAAGCGAAAGTCTCCTAGAGTTGGAACATGCTGTAAACGTAACCTCATTCTGATATTCACCCCTATGACTTGAGTAATTGTGACAATAGGAACACTGGCCCGATGGTTGAGAGCCTTGAGGATAACTGTGCGTGGAAGCTAGTCTCAGAATCAGAAACTTAGGGACTGAAAAGACCGCTGTTAAACAAGCAACTGGACGCTTTGAGTTCTCACCATCTAGCCAAAAGTAAAATGAAGGTACGTGTGAGACCGGGAAGCTTAGAATAACTCGAAAGCTAATGCAAGCAGGCAGAGGTTGTTCGGCGTAAAGGTCAATGAACTCCCCATGACGCGTCTGCACACTGCTTCCGACCTTTGGACGAGTCCACGTATGATCCAATGGTGGACCAAATGTGACTTTTCACAGTATGACCTAATTGGTCAATGCCGAGCTGCATGCGGCAGACTGCAGCATGTTGGGTAAGCAGAGATACACGTCACTCAAAACAACGTGGAACCGTTAACGAATGATCCGTTGGGTGGTGTCTTTACCAGTTACAACACCAAACCCCAGGTTAGAGCGCAGATGCTGTGCAGAAGGGCGAGCAACGACTAGGCTGATGGCGGTGTCCGGTCCGTGGGCTGCGCGAAGCGGAATGTCTGGGTTCGGTTATTTCACTTTTCGGAGGTTTTGAGGGAAGACGTGAAGCGGCGAACCCTCACAATGACGAATGAGAGAGGATCGAATGCAGGGTGCAGCATAATGGTCGCTGTGATGATAATGCAAAGGAGGATGTGCATGTTGCGAAGGATGGGAAAATCGTTCGGCCCCCCTCCGGGAGAGAATCGCTCGGCCCCACTGCACTGCACTTTTCCAAACAGTGCAACTTAACCTAACAACCTTTAGAACGATGACTGTGAGTGATGTCAACGTTCAACATGGCCAGCGATGGGTCATTTTCAAATAATATCGTCGCAAGTTTGGTGTGGGGAGTTAACGTCGTCGCAATGAACATCGTTCTCTCCAGGCACCGGCAGCTGGCAGACAATTTCCCGATGTCCAGGTCCAGCTTTCGCGACCCCTGTCGATGGCGATCTTTTGAATCACGCCAGATCGGGGTCGCAATGATGAGGCAGCAAACTCCCTTGCCTTGCCAGACCCTTAGGCTGGGTCTTGATCATGATATTGCTCGACCACGGCATCCGGAAGGCTACCACACACTACACAGATAGCCTACGAGACAACTGGCACTCCCTCACTTTCCGCTGGCCTTGTCAAGCCGGAGAGGGATGATCGCTTAGGCCTGCGCGGGCGATCTGGGCTATGACAGCCGGAAAGGCCAAGTCTCAGCGCAATCCTCCGCATTTCAGCACGCCACGAAAATACCCTGGCGTGCAGGCTTTTTGGGGAGATCAGCCTCGCGGATCTCCCAATCCAGTGCTGTTGTTAGCTCAAGCTCCGTCTCCACCAGAAGATGCTGATGCAGCCACACCACGCTAAGGAACACGCCAACGCGGTCCGGCCTTGAAATCGCATGCGGCAGCAAACAGAGAGCTGAGATCACGACATGGACGTGGATACAAATAATCGTGCTCCATCGTCCCACACTTGGCGGAGACGGCGAGTGATTGATTTCGAATCCCCACTCTGGTGCTAGGTATCTCCATGTCAAGAATCCTTTCCTCGCCTGTGCATGAACGAAGTTTTTGAGCGACGCCTTCAGCGTCCAGGATATCGAAGCTGCGTCTCCTATTTAAGGAATGACTGTGGCTTCGGATCCGATGCCCTCCCTCCCGTCCAATATCGCCGAGAAGCCTCGACCCTCTGTTCCCAGCCGCACGTCGTCACTTAAATACTGTCGCCCCAGCTGGATGGATGGAAAAGGTAATTTCAATTCTGGCATTAGCTCGGCGAACGCGAGGACACCGGCCGAGACTCCAGCCTCGTCGTGGGGTACCATCAGGTCCACTTTGACAGGCCGGAATTTTATAGCAGAGGATGGGAATTCTTTAGAATTTCTAAAAGGCCCTCCAAGCGTCAGCTTGCCTCGAAGCTACTTGACACGGAGTACATCACATTCTGTGAAAACGAACAGGAGATCCACCAGTTGCTCCGCAACAATGCGGAATACCACACGAGGAGAAAAAGTCAAGAGATGGGCTGGGTTAACGCGAACAGCGAGCGATTGGGATGGCCTACGCAGAGTGAGTTAGTCTATCATACGTATCAGAAATCTTCGCTAACAGTCGCTAGGATCCTGAGTTGTGGTTCAGCGATGGAGATTGCCTGGTTCATTTATACGCCCGTGGCCAGTCGCGTCGCGGCCCTTCCTTCTGCGTTCCCTTCAGCGTTCTTCGTGAGAGCAAATGTGGTGCCATGTTCAGCCTCTGCTTTGCACAAATGACGCCTGCTCAGTGTCCCACCAATAGTCAGCCTCTGGGACGTGTATCGAGTGGCTTCAGCACTCAACTTGCAGTGTCAAGTCCCAACATATGCGAGCTTTACATTCCAGCACCAAGGGAGGCAACAAGGGAGGATTCTTTCCAATGGCACATAACCACTCGCAATTTCTTCGCCTTCGTTTTCGGGAAACCGCTGGTCGGGAATCACATGGGGAAGGCGTTGGTGGACCTGCAGCAGCGGATGCAACTTTTCCGGTCGGGACGAATTAACAACCATCAAGATTTCCTCGATTATGCCAAACACCAAGGGTATCGAGACTTTGTGGAATGTGCCGACTATGCGTTGGCCATGCTCTACTACGCCGAACACTACCAGTTGCGAGATGTTTGGATCGACGCCTTCGTTCATTGTGTTGGCATGAATGACTGCCTAAGTCTCAGCTCTGAATTTCAACTAGTATCTCGCGTCACGAAAGCTCTGATTACGAGGGCTTACTTGGAAATGGATATTCACCTTAGCCGTGTAGCTATCGCACTCGGCAACTTCCTCGAAGATGATATGTCACCGGCCTTCCTTGGCCTCAGTGATGGCGCTCGAGCCCACATGGATCGCTTCCGCTCATTCTTGCACACCTTTTACGTCGAGAAGTTCGGTTACTGGCCACCACCCAATGGCACTTCATTCTCGAAAGTTTTGTACAAATCTATGTACTTTGACTTTAAGAACATGTACGACTACTTGGCAGATCTTGAGTCAAGCGACAACATTTCATCCCAGAAGCCAGCCAGCGGCGGAATCTGCGTTCTACAGAATGTTCTAGCTTTTAACCAGAGGCATGACTTCGTTCCGCTACCCCATCCATTGCCATTAGTTCCGGAACATGTCGCGCCGAATAGGAAGACTCAATCACAAAAGACTCTACGAACCCTTACTCTGGGTTCTAAGCAGGCTAAGACCGATCGGTACATGACCACTCGTGCTGCACTTACATCAGCGACCAATACTCGCGATATTTCTGTGACAAGCTGCGCCCTCGTGCAGGCTTACATGCGTTTCGAGCGGCAGTGTGCTCTCAACCAGCGAGAAGAGAAGGTTTCAATGGCCGATGCAAGAAAAGTCCGCTGGCTGCTCATTTATAGCACGCTCCAGTACTTGGTGTCTGCTATTCGGGCCCCAAAAGAAGTTCGTGACACTGAGGAACCCACTTACCCTCTGTGTTGCTTAGTCACAGAGAAGTCTCCTTGGCAGATTGGAACCAAAGCCCTAAACTCTCCTACGATTCCTTCCGTCAATGTGCCAGAGGCCATCGATAACTACCTTCCCGAATCGAAATGCGAGGTCCCAAACGAGCTCACTCGCGGTACCCCAAAGGCCTCGACAATTCAGCCCGACTGCCAGAATGAAGACTACTTCACGCATACGAATCCCGATTCAACGCCTATAATTAGTCGGCTTGTTTCGGTCGAAGTGCCCGCTCCTCTCCGAATCTCATCGCCAATTACACAAAACTCTTCCATCAGGTCTTTCAAGCACCTCTCTCTGTCTGCCCTCAGCTCACGCAGGAATAGTGTCGTCTTGAAGACGCCTTCCCAGCCGTTCTGTGAGATTATTGTTCATGGATATGGGAACGGTCTGAATGATACGATTATTGATCCACCATCGCAAAGAATCTCACGCTCGGAGGCTGTCATTTGCTCAAAGCATTCGTCCGGGCCTATAATTCCCAATGGTGCTGAGCCAGAGACTTCGTGGTTACGGCCGTCAACGCCAGACCATGCAAAGCATTTAGGACGACCCGGGAATCTCGTACTCGACACTGGGTCCGCGCTCGGACAAGCACGAACGCCTATACTCGACTCTTTTGAATTTGACAACCTTGTCAGCCCCGTTAACACAGATAAGCCTCATCAGTCTCCAAGCTCCTCCAACAGCGCCACGTCTATGCACAGCGCTATGTGGAGTGATGGCGACTCCAGCTCCACATCTTCGAAATCTAGTGCCGATGCTGGCCGATCGGATTCTAAGTTAGGCACTACAGAAGACAATAGTCATCCCAGCGGCTTTGCTCTTGTTGACAACACCCCCTCATCGAGTGCTCAGACATCCCCAAAGAGGAATTCAGCTACAACACCCAATCGCCGTAGCGAATTCTGCTTTAGCTTCAACAGCCCCTCCTCTGAAAGTTCCTTTGTACTAGCGCAATCCTCAGACTTACCTGTCCCTCTCTCTGTCGATTCCAATATCGGAATCGCCATCTCAGCTCCTCCGCCGATACCAACATATATACTACCGCCCCCACCCCCAGCCACCACCCCTAACTTCGATATCCTTCCTACTCTGGACGAAAAGCCACGCCCTCTTCCAAGGTCATTTTCCATGGAAAGCTTAGCCTTTCCCCCTTCGTCGACCTCTAAGGCTAGGAAAGAGAACTCCATGGACATTTTCGCTGCTCTATCGCTCGCACCTGCACAATCGAAGAATGAAACCCCAGCTGGGCGAAGCGCGAGTGAGACTTGTAGGGATATTGAAGCCGCAGTCCCGCCACCGATCTCTAAGAAGGCCCAGCAAGTCCACAGCACCAAAGTCGTCGATGACCAAGAGAGAGGTCGAAAGAAGGAGCGGAGGAAGAGTTTGGGGCTTATGCTGAGGAGAAGATAGAAGTTGAAAAGTCACTCGTGCCGCGCGACTTCGTTCACGTTTTGTATTCCTTATGGTCTTTCTTCTCTACTAGTATCTCATCTCATCTCATCTCATTTCATTTATCAAATCTTAGCATGGTGCATCAGGCTACATATAGCGCGAGGTAAATTAACTTGTCCTGACGCAGATACACAGACGCTCACTCAAAAGCTTTTCTCTACCTTGATTTCTAGTTTTAGTTTTGTTCAGCGCTTTGGTTTGTTATACCCATCGTCGATTACGCAGCTCGGTCGACACTTAAATATAATGTCTTGTATATTTAGCGGCACGTTGGTTGAGTAGGAGTGATATGGTGCGAAGTGAAAGCACGCATAACGGAAATGGAAATATATAATTGAAGACCACGAACCCCTGCGACTTTGGACTTGCATGAACCCTCTGTGAATTTTCGGCAAGTCAAGGAAATATACAACATCTCTTCTTAAGACTGTCTACCTCTGTCCTCCTACAGTTGCAAGTTTTGAACAACATGATCTGAAATAGGACGTATTAAGCCTTATTTATGTACCTTTAAAGCGGTAGATATATAACTATTCTACCCGTAAGTGTCTGTAGACCTTGGATTTTACTCAATTAACGATGAGATTTAGTGATGGATCTTTAGTCTGCGCGGATATTTCCTTGAGCGCGCCCTAAATATTTAGTGTTTGCTTTTTTCTTACTTCTCTTTGAATACAAAAATATTCCCACAAAAAAACTCTCCACTGGCTCGTATTCACACCTCCAGTCCTCATACGACAGCGCCCCAAAGTCACCTCAACTTGTTCCACTATAAAAGTACCCCGCAATCGGAGAAAGACTGTTTCCTCGCTGCCCCTCCGCACTTCTCATCGCTAAATGTCCAGGCGAGCTAGTAGTTGACTGAGTCACAACCCCATAAACCCTCCTCGTCTCCCCCACAACATCCAAAACCGTTTCCAGTCCCGCCATACACGAATTTGGTATCCCTGGACCATTAATGCCGCCAATAGTTAGCGAATGGACTAAGGAATCACGCATCAAGCGCCCCAGTGTCGAATTCTCCGCCGCGACGAGATAGAGAAGGGAACCAAGACCTAGGAGGATGGAGACACCAACTACTATCCCAAGAATGCGGTAATCGAATTGGGTGATAAAGACAAGCCGCTCGTCCTGTACAATCATATCGACGGTAGAGTTGAGATCGTACGGTCCTCCAACGGCGTCGGCAGGTATGTTCAGCGGACGAGCATTCAGCGGCGCGTGCCAAATTGTACGCTGAACGTGGCTGACGAGATCGCTAGGGAGGATAAAAGTGGTTCGATTGGTGAAGCGTGCTGTAGCAGCGATAAAAGTGCTGTTTTGCTGCGGACGCCCCTGCTGGTATGTCGTCCAGGCTTCGCCATTGAAGACATCGACGAACGCGGCAGCGATTCCGTAAAATCCTGTCGCTGGGCCTTCGATCTGTGCGGGAATAGGGTCCATCCAGGACTGCCGCGTGCAGTGGAGGTCCTTCATGATCCCGTTCCCGCCAGAGATTGTTGTTCTACAGACACCCCGCGCAGGCCTGAGTGAGCAAGCGTGTGAGAGGAAGTGGGTTCCGTTGTTCATCGTAGCGTTGAAAGCAAGGGAGGCGAAAATGTATTCTAAAAAGGAGTTGGGGCCGAAGGGAATAGGCTGCTCAAATCGAGCCGTGAAGTTGTAGTACCATTGGTCCTGTAATATAAGCAGTCAACTGGAGCCAATACAAGGGATGTTTTCTGCGAGTACCGATCTCGTGGCTATTACCACACCAGGTGTCTCGACAATAGCGCATTCCACGTCCACAAAATCAATGGGTCCAAAGCTCGCTTTCCCCGTCAAGTTCTGCTGCGTGTAAGGCTGACTCCCGGTTTCGCCAAAAACAGCAATCGTTGCGGAGCGCTTGATATTCGGCATGGCATTCTGGGGGTACAGCACAGCGCCCGATCGGGCCGCCATCCGGGGATCCAACTGTGCATGCTGTATCTTCACCGTCGTAGGCATAATCTCAATGCGACTACCGGTCTCGACTCCAGCCTGAAGTGCAGGGATTGTCGCCGACGTTGCGAGGAAGCACACGAGGCCAGTGAACCATGCCAGCGCGGTTGAAGGCCGGCTCAACATCCCAACAGACAGGCGCGATGCCAGATGTAGTGATTCGATATTTTTGATGCTCAAGCCATATTCCTCGCCCTCGTGGTTGCTGAGTCGCAGCCACAAATGCTGGTATAGAGCTACACCGAGAAGCGCCGCAACGGAGCCTTTCAGGATGGTTGCGCCAAGCGCGATGAAGACGGAGGCATTCGACGTCCACAATCCTGTTTTCGGTTTTCCATCTGTGGTGAGAGCGACCGTGAAAATAAATCCAGATGAAAGGAAAAGAGAAAGGAGAGCAGCCCACGTAGCACGAAAGATCTGGGCAGGTGGCGTTTGCTTGCGTTTGGGAAATTGGGCGGAGAGGGTTATGGACTGGCGCGCCATGGGTCTCGCATATCGAGCAGAAACCCTTGCATGGGAATGCAGATCTTGATAAATAATTGTCTGCTTGGATGTCACTAGACGTGGCTGGTTTGGTTCGGCGAAACGAGGCGCGAGGTGGTCGCGGGATAGCTTTGCACTCGTTTAGCTGAATTAGCGCCACTGAGTGTACGACCAAATTCATCCTCACGATACTTCATCTGGCTTGGTTCGGCGAGGTTGATGGTTAAAAGAAAGGTATGCATAGTCCAAATAGGAGTGATGAGTAAACAGGACTGACTAACGGGGTTCGATTTGGCGCTGGCTCAGGACTCCTTTTCGAGGGTTTGGAAGCTGACCACCGACTTCGCCACTGTATCACACGTCCAGATTTTTCCCCGATAATCTCCTCCACATTTTGTTCATCGGAATACCTCTGTTGTCCTACAAGGTGGACTGGGAACTTTCACTCCGTCAGTTGATGGAAAGCCACAGCAAGATGATTGATTTCGCTGGCGTTCGGATCGCAATTTCGGTGGTGGTTGTCCTTCGCAGCCCTAATCACTGCATGCTCAATCTTACCAACGAGCGACCAGCCCTGACATCATTACAGGACCTACTCGCGAAACGTAGTGAAGTTATCTCATAAGTCAGCCGCTCCACAGATGATTTTTCGCTAATACTATTTTAGAGTAGATAGAACTTCTAAAGTTTTCTAGGCTAATTATAATTACTAATAACGTACACTATAGGTGTCAGATTTGCGCACCTACTGTCAAGACAGGAGGAACGCTTGACGAAAGCTGCTACATAGTACGAGCAATAAGCTCGAACAGTATGTTACTGCAAATTGCAGCATTTTGCAGCATGTTGCAGCAAATTGCAGCATTTTGCAGCATGTTGCAGCAAATTGCAGCATTTTGCAGCATGTTGCAGCAGTTTGCAGCAAATTGCAGCATTTTGCAAGCTGGTCGCGCATAGGGCAAGTGCGCGAGGGACTCGGATCGGCAAAACAAAAAGCCGAGCAACACGAGTAGAGCAGGAAAAAGGATCGATAAATCAACACAATCAATACAATCAATCAATCATCCCATACATCATATCCAAACCCATCATTCATCTCAGGAAGCCCAGAAACAGTGCTTCAATCTGACAATAGGCAAGTTGCTTACACACCTAAGTTGCTTACTTTTACTAAGACTACGCTAAACTACTCTTTCTACACTAATGCATTTTTAATAACACTACTTAGATGTGCTAAAAGAATATTAGATATAGCTTATACTTTAAGCTTTTAAATAAAATGTTGCGTTTGCCAAAAGGTCAACCTTCCAGCTAGCACAGCAGAAGGATATATATAGACGGATAGCTGTACGCGACATAAAATATAACACTTTTAAAGTAATCTACTAACTACAGCTTTATCTAAAGTCTTTTAAAAGATAATTGTAACAGCACATGCAAGACAATGGGTCCGAATGCGGTATAAATCCACTTATGTAACGGCACAGGCAAGACAATGGGTCTGAATGCGGTAGGAATCCACTCAGACATATGGGAGTGCGTGGGGACTTAATGACCTGGGAATTCCATTAACACCTATAGGCCTTGTACGAAGGATATCAGAAAACTACCAAGCTAGCTACGGGGGAGAGGTGCGACTAAATACATGGGGAAATAGGGGTAACAGCAGGGGGCAGGGCAGAGTCGGGGCTAGGTCGAGTCAGGGTCGGGGCCGATACGGGGACCCTTCGGATAGGTTCCGGGTGACCCGAGATGGAACGATTCATGAGAATCGTTACTGTGCCTACCTCGTTACACTGAGTGGATTCATACCGCATTCGGACCCCATTGTCTTGCCTGTGCCGTTACAAGGACAGCAGCAGCTTGTACAGGCAGTGTTACTTAGTCAGCAAACACAGTGCGTAAAGAGGAATACGTACAGAAGCACAGGAAGTGCATAGCGGATACTGTGCCCCTAGGCGGTTCACACATATAAATATGTAATAGTGTGATACGTACTGGAGCAGGTGTAGTATACTGCTAACAAAGACTAGCTTACAGGAAGAGAGAAGTCTAGAGGGTTAACAGCCTGTCAGCGCTGCTTTCAACAAGAACCCTGTTACAAGTACTACAACAGTATATTTACAGTTTCTAACAGACGATAGCGCAAAGCACGACTAGCAATAAAAAAAATATGTACCTACTGTATCTACATAGCAACACATACCTACTGTTTTTTAAGGAGCAACGCTGCGGTGAGAGAGTACAGAGAGGAAAAAGAAGGGAAAGAAAAAAAGAGAAAAGGGGGTAGAAGTAGCACTAGAGACTAGCAGAATAAAATTGCTCTAGAGATGCTGCACAAGTAAAAAGTAGCTGCATAGACAAAAGGTGGCTACTTTAAACAGTTATAGCAGAGAATTCAGAACACCATTATGAATTATGTAGTGCGTTCGATCGGTATAACGATCGCTAGAGACCCGATAGCATACATCTGCTTAGAGGCAAAGGAGCCAAGTTTTAAAGAGTTTAGGGAAAGGGAGAAACAAGAGGCATTGGATTGAGTTGAAGGGAGTCAACGGACTGCGACATTCAGCATCCCAAGTCCCTGTAAGAACGGCAGACAGTAGTCCAAATGAGGAAATAGCAAGGGGAGACTTAGTAGTAAGCAGTAAGCAGTAAGGTAATAAGGTATGCTAACAGCTGTACGGTCGAAGGACAACCCGCAGAAGTGTCGTAATTTGAGAGCACCTAAAGGTGGTAATTTCCCGTTACCTAGGTTTACCGACGGTGCGCGAAATATTCCATGTTGTGAACACCAATCTTGACTCCGTCCATGAATGCAGACATGACCTGTTGAAGAAGGAGAGTCGATTCTCGAGGGCCCATGGCGGTTGCAAACTTCATCGCGAGTGAGCTCATAGTATGTATCTCATGAAGAGGTATATTCTGAATTGACCATCCATTCGTCTATCAGAGAAGTTAGCACCCTTGCAGCAAAGTTAGGAAGAAGCATTAGAGCTCCGAAATAGTTGTACTCACCAGAGCGCTCACGAATTCTCGAAGCTGGTTAAGACTGACTTTCCGGGATCCCAACCCGAAGAGACTAGCAAGGCGGCCCATAGCTTGGGCAGTCTCGCCATTTAGCACAATCCTTTTCGCTCGGATCTGGTCAGCTATCTTCCTAGTACTACACCTCTTCTTAACGGGGGCTCCTGTAATTCGATCTTCCTTGATCTCAGGCTGAATATCATCCAGATTCAGGAAACCCCTGCACTCTTTGTGGGTTTGAGCGAATTTCTGTAGTTCGCTGAGTGGGAAGTGGGAAAGCACCGCATCCTTTGGCACGTTTCCCCATAATAAGTCTACTTTCGTCAGCCTGAACTAAGGCTTTAGATCATTCCATGCCTTACACTCAGTGGTGGCTTTGTAGTTCGCCCACCGCGCTTGCCCATTCTTCTTCAGCCAGCCTAGAAGATGACCTGCATGTATCTTCTTGTCAGGCTCATTTAGTATCGGATGATCTAGGAGAATAACAGCCAGTTGCGGATCCTCCATAACTGAGGCCTTGGAGTACAGTGAGCAGACGGTCATAGAGAAGGGAAAGTTGGGATAAATACCAGATTATTCCCGCTGAACAGTATTCTGAACATCACTTAAGTGGTGCTTCCGAAACTGAGTGGAAAAAACCTGGCACTCATATCCCCACCTTACGTACATAATTCAATATCTGGAGGAGAGAAGTAGAAACGGAGACCCAGCATGAAGCATTGCCAGTCAGGCTCAAGTGAGCGATTGCGAGTATTTTGAATGACTCGTGACTTCCCATAGCAATTGGATGAGGAAGAGGGCCATTCCAATAGCTGAGTAGTTCACTAATGAAACTGCCATCGACGAACTTTGTACGACTGGATAAGCTGTCAGTCATAGTATAATGTTGATTTGAAGACTTGCCATACCTCTTTGATTGCCAGACTCTAAAGGCCAAGTGCGTTGGAAAGTGCGGCTGGATACCTTTTCCAGACCAAGCGTGTATTGTCGATGAAGCCTGGGTATTAGCTAGGCCACATTGGACTGGGACTGGAGGTGATTCATCAATGTCGGATGGTATATCCGCTCCATCTGCTGCGAGAAGCGTGGACTGCGACATGCCAAGATCTTGTACCCTAGTAACTAGATCCCTGTAATATCGGTGACTGGTATCATGTTTCCGCTTCATAGCTTTTTCAGACAGTGAATCGGATTCGGTCTTTCGGCGGCGAAGGCTCAAGCCGAGCTTCCTCGCTTCTCGCTCTATAACTGAGCGAAGTTGTCTAGAGAAGCCGTGCTGATCATCAAAAGAGACTGAATGGAAAACCCGCTGATAGTGCTCTTTGTATTTACTACGGAGATCCGAAAATTGGGCGACAATTTTTCCGTTTCCAAGATCCAGGCCGGTCATAGAGTTGAACAGAGTTGAGATATCAGTCGACCTGGGGGAATCGAACCACCTATGAATGAGACATAGTAGTTCTTTTTGCGTAGAAGTCCAGTTGTGCGATTTTTTTCGTTCTATGCTTCTAAGGTATTCAAGAGACCTAACGTTTTCCGACATGACATTATGTCGGTGGCACTTCTTGGTTCTCCTTCTTGGTGCCTTCGGACGTCGAGCGATTGTGGTAGCTCCATCAATTCTACGAGAATATCCTTTCAAGGAACAATCTTGTCCACCTGTCTGACGTAGACGAAAATCAACGTTTTGGGTACGAGTTGGAGAGTTGTCAAAACCCAAGGTTTCGGAGTTAGCGTTAAGGTGAAATTCATCATGGAGGGGTAGGTCAGTCTGGCCGAGGAGCGACGGGTTCGAGGAAGGTGCTGTTTGCACGAGTGAATTTGTGGCATGGCTCGCGACTTGCTCGAAGAAGCTCTCCAGAGAATTAAGTTGAGATGAAGAAGACGTGGGACCGTAATTGGAACTGCTCCTGCAAACCTGATGCAAAGTGTTGGCTAGAAGCGTTGATATATTCGTAACTTGCGCCGAGCTCTGCCCGCGGTCCTGGTGATCTTCCATTGGCTCCGACTTTACGGTGGGAACTGGAGCTTTTATCTGAAGAGTACTGAGCATGACGTCTTCGAAGCAATCCGATATATCTGGTCCTCTGAGTCAGCGTATTCTGAAAGTTTCTGCTAGGTGTGATAGTCATGCTTTGCTCAACGTCTGCATCAACGCCCACATCCATAATCTCAGGCATTTCTTTTGACGCTGGCGCTATAGCGAGGTTGACTGGCTCCCATTTGAACACTTGGGCGTTCTGGACTACAGTGTCCGGTGCCCACTTGCAAATGACCATTTCGTAATGATGAAGAAAGTACAACTGTTACTATCTTGTACTGGTGGGTGGAGGAAGTGACAAGAAAGAGAGGGAAGGAGGAAAGGAAATGGGCGAAGCCAACGCCACGCTCGAGCGCGTTTGTGACTGAGAAGTGCATAAACCCTGGAGACCCGAGTTAGAACGCGTCGCGCCATAGTAAACAAGGGCTAGGGGAGAGGTGAAAGGCTCGACCAGTGTGAATGCCGAGTATGAAGGTAGACAACAGGTGGGTGGAGGGAGGGAGGCAGGGAAGGAGAGAGAGTGGGAGAAAGAGACGAAGAGATATGCAATTGGAGTCTCAGGTTCGTTATCTTGATGTCTCTTCTGCATGAGATTGTAGAATGAAGCGTGAGCGGTGAGGCGCTCGTGCCAGACTGCTAAATGCGTTCCTCGCCTTAGGCCAAGGTAGTACATTATCTGACGTACTACACATTCTAAAATGGGTAAACTTGCATGTTAGTCTGAATATGAAGTGACGGAAGATGAGACCCGGAGTACTCGACAGTTTCATTTTAGTGTACCCAAACCTCGGCAATGCAACCCCACTGTCGATCTCCCGTAACGCGTCACACCCATCTTTAACTTCACTTTAAAGTACCACATGTTCTTTGAGTACTTGAAAAAGAATGTTTCCATCCTTATCTCAATTACCAATTGAGCCATGAAGGCTATCGTGATCGACCAGTTCGTGTCGGTGAGCTTCCAAAGGGTCACATACCTTTGCAATTGCTGACTAATGTGTAGGACCTTGCTAGCTTAAAGCCTAGAGAAGCATCCATACCTCAACCCAAGGGCCCCAAGGATCTCCACGTCAGGATAACGCATGCTGCCGTCACTCATGTCGACACGCTTTACGCACAAGGGCTGCACCAGAACAATCACCGCCATGTGCAACCGCCTTTCATCCTTGGAAATGAATTTGCTGGTATCGTCACATCATCGCCCGCATCTTCACCATTCAGACCGGGAACAAGAGTGTTTGGCGGAGGGCTTGGGTCTTATGCCGAAAGCATATGTGTGGATGAAGGGAGTGTAAGGAGAGTCCCTGGTCGGTGGAGCAATGCAGAAGCATGCGCCGTTGGGGCCTCTGGAGCTGTGAGCTGGGGGAGCCTGATCTCAGTGGCGAATCTTCAGCAGGGAGAAACAGCATTGATACTTGGAGCTTCAGGAGGGCTGGGGGTGATGGCTGTCCAAATCGCAAAGGCTATCGGCGCTAGAGCGATAACCGTTGTTGGGGATGAGGAGAAGGCCGAAATGATGAGGAATCTTGGAGCAGATGGGGTAGTCGACTACCATGCGTCCAACTGGGAAGATGAGGTCAAGGCACTGACAGAGGACGGTGAAGGAGTCCACGTAGTATACGATGCCATTGGCGCTATTGAGAGCGGCCTGAAGTGTCTGAGATACAGGGGCCGGCTTGTGATTGTCGGATTCGCTGCCAGAGGAGGGAAGATTGAGGAAGTGCGGGCTAACAGGATTCTGCTGAAGTCCATCACAGTGCATGGCTATGTAAGCCTTGTCCGCATACAGAAGAGGAGCAGTCTACGAATGCTAACGGGGTTGTGTTACAGCGGTTTGGCGAAGACGGAAGGCGCCTCCCCGAAAGAACGAAAGAAGCTTGGGATGGATTCATGGGACTGGTGGAGGCTGGAAGGATCAAGCCTGTCATTTATAAGGAACAGTACCAAGGCCTCGGAGAGATATGCCGCGCGTTGGAAGACCTGCAAATGCACAAAACTTGGGGCAGAGCAATATTGAGGATCAATGAGGGGATGGAAGTGGACATTGAGACGGAAGCAGAGCAGAAAGCTAGACTTTGACGGAAAAAGTAGTTTGTGAATGGAGGCATAGATGGATTCCACAATTGTGATGCACATACTTGGTAAAACGTAGTGTCTTCGACGAGTGGATGATGGTGGGGATGTAGTTGGAGTAGTCGACATCACGAATGCCAAGACTAGAGGCTGGTAAGTGCGGGCGCTGGGGCCCGATGACATAAGCCAGTTCTTTTGGCACCGGCTCACCTTCACCTCGAACAAAGACGGCAGCTGTCCTTCCTCCTTTCCTTCCTCTTCCTTCCTTCCTTCCTTCTTCCCCTCCACACCCGTTGCTCCCCCTCCTCTCGCACAGTCCTCTGGTGGACAAACATCCGCAGCGAGCTGGTCCGCCACCGACACTTCCCTCCGCCATCTCCGCATCTACCTATCTACCTTTCGCTTTGTAGTCGCACACTCGTCACATCAGCCACAATGTCAGGGTACGATGCTCACAACGGCTCCGACTCGGAGGACGATGGCTTCAACCCCGCGCCAATGGTTGACGAGGACGACATCGCGACAAATGGAGATGTGAGACCTAGTGCCCATGGCGACGACGATGACGACGAAGACCAGGCTGCTCCGAGAAGGCAGCAGGCAGAAGACGAGGAAGACGAGGACGAAGGCGCTGGACGTGATGAAGAAGAAGAAGACGACGACGAAGAAGAAGATGACGACGACGATGAAGATGTAGTTCAACGTCCGCACAAGCGAAGGAAGAAACAGCGTCGAAATGTCTTCCTTGATGTTGAAGCCGAAGTTGATGACGAAGACGAGGAGGAGGAAGAAGGCGACGATGAAGGTGGCATCGAAGAAGTCCACCCCGATGATCTCGATGAGCAGGCCGGCGCTGACCTCGATGACCGCCGCCACCGCGAGCTCGACATGAAGCGCCAGGTTGATGCCCAGAAGGACGCTGAACAGCTCGCCAAAGAACTCGACGAGAAATACCGTCGCAGAGAGATGCAGCGCGCCCAAAAGGCTGCCGCTGGTGCTGTTCCGCTATCCCTTCCTACCGTCAACGACCCGTCCATCTGGGGCGCCAAATGCAGGCCGGGAAAAGAGAGGGAGGTAATTATGGCCATCATGAAACGCATCGACGAATTGAACCATGCTGGGCGGCCAGTTCGTGTCTACTCGGCCTTTGAGCGTGGAGGGACAATGACAGGTTATATCTATGTCGAAGCCGATGCGAAGCAGGACATGATTTCCTTGATTGAGAACATCCCCAATGTCTTCATGGGCCAGCCGCAGATTGCTATCGAGGTTAAGGAGCGTCCAGACCTTCTCCGGAAGCGGAAACGGGACCCTCTTGAGGAGGGCAAGTTCGTCCGCATGCTGCGGCCAGCCTTGTACAAAGGCGACTTGGCCAAAGTCGTCGAGGTCCATGCCAACGGCTTGGATTGCACAGTTCAACTGGTTCCTCGGCTCGACTATGGTCTTGGAGAGGACGCCAATGCTGGAACTGATGGCACTAAGCGGAAGCGAGGCAATTTTGGCAGGACAACAGAGCGCCCGCCACCTAAGCTCTTCAACGAGAACGAGGCGAAAAAGAAGCACATGAAGCATCTGAATATGGCAGGTTCTGGCGGCCAGAAGACATTCACATACAAGGGGGACGATTACCAGAACGGGTTCCTTATTAAGGATGTCAAGATCAACCATGTCAACGCTGGGAACGTGAATCCACGAATGGAAGAGATGCAATTCTTCTCCGTCACGAGCGCCGACGGAACAGAGACTCTCGACCTCGTTGCGGTTCAGGCTGCCCAGAAAGCTGCGCAAACCGGCTCTATCTTTGCTGCTGGTGACAATGTAGAAATCTACGATGGTGAGCAAAAAGGCGTTCGCGGTACTACCGTCTCAGTGCGAGGAGATATTGTCACGCTTCGAGTGACGGAGGGTCCCTTGAACGGTCGACGAATCGAGGCTCCGGTCAAGACTCTGCGAAAGCTCTTCCGTGACGGTGACCACGTCAAAGTTATTGGCGGGAGCAAGTACATCGATGAAGTAGGTCTTGTTACTAAGATCAAGGACGACAAAGTTACCTTGCTCTGCGACTCTACACAGCAGGAAATCACGGTGTTCAGCAGGGACCTAAAGAGGGCAGCTGACTCAGCTACGCTTGGACACGACTCCGACTTCGAACTCAACGACCTAGTGCAGATCGAGTAAGTATCTTCTTCTTTCTGTCGAGGCTCGTTGCTAACAATTGATTAGTGCCGCAACTGTAGGTTGTGTCGTAAAGGTCGATCGAGAGGTCCTTCGTATTTTGGACCAGAACGGTAACCTCCGTACCCTGATTCATTCTCAAGTCTCTACTATCCTCGGAAGGAATCGCAATGCTGTAGCTACGGATCGAGACGGATCAGAAATTCGAAATGACGACCTAGTCAAGGAGCACGGTGGAGAAGGCCGATCAGGCTACGTTCTCTACATCCACAGGGGCGTTCTTTTCGTTCACAACAGAAATGAGGTCGAGAACAATGGTATTTTTGTCGTTCGGAGTACCAACGTTACCACTCTCGCAGCGAAGAGCGGTCGTACCCAGGCAACTGGTCCAGATCTCGGGAAACTGAATCCTGCTATCCAGCAGGGTGGTTCAAACGGCAATGCCATGCCTCCTCCACGAAGCATGGGTCGAGACAGACTTATTGGGAAGACTATCACGATTCGCAAAGGGGCGTATAAAGGCTTGCTTGGTATTGTGAAAGACACGATGAATGATGAGGCTCGTGTAGAGCTGCACACCAAGAACAAAATCATCTCGATCAAAAGAGATCTCTGTGGTGTCAAAGATCCTGTCACTGGTAACAGTATGGAATTCGGCGGTAAGTTTCCAAACCGCGCTCGTGGTGGATACTCTGGTTCCACGCCTGCCTATAACAGTGGACGTACTCCAGCCTGGGGCAACCCAACTCGAAATGGACCATCATGGGGTACGCCTGCGGGAGGCCGCACACCCGGAGGCCCGTCTTGGGGCGGAGGCCGAACTCCTGGCTGGGGCGGCGGCGATGGATCGCGTACGGCATACGGAGGGGATGGATCTCGAACTGCTTATAGCGGTGATGGATCTCGTACAGCATATGGAGGCGATGGTTCCCGGACAGCTTACGGCGGAGCCACAGCCTACGGCGGCAATGATGGGTCACGAACCTCTTACGGAACAGGCTTCAACTCTTCTGGGGGTCGTACCCCAGGAGATCCAACATGGAGTGGCGCACCCTCGAAATCACCTTCCAACAGTCTCTCCGCTCCAACGCCAGGTGCATACAATGCTCCGACTCCCGGTCCATACTCGGCTCCAACGCCTGGAGAATACTCAGTACCAACTCCAGGTGGTGCACCGTTGGACGCTCCTACTCCTGGCAATTATTCAGCACCGACTCCCGGAGATTCTGCTGCGCACCCGACACCTCGGGGATACGGCGGGTATGGAGGCGGGTATGGGGCAACGCCAACTGCGGCCCCAACACCCGGTGCCTGGGCTCCCGAAACGCCATGGGCTGGTGGACCTGAGACGCCCGCTCCAAGTGGATTGGACGAGGATCCTAGGTATGATTGAATTGGTATAGTTCAAAATGGAATGGAATTGGTGCAGAATTTTAATGGAACTTGCTTCCTTTGGCTCTGAGTTCTCTCTGCTCCTACATATGTTTTAGCATTGCGAGGATAGGTAAAACTGAACTGATAAACACCCGAGGGCGTTATGGCTGGCAGCTTTGTGGCGGTTGACACATGCTGCCTGTAAACCTGAACTTTCAAAGGATGGGTGGAGTAAGACCGCAATATCATTTCGCTCCTTCGAACCCAGGTGGTCTGATTGGATTCTTGTCACGTCTGAATCACACGATGAACACTCCTGTACTCAACCCAAAGTTCACCTAGCCTAAATCGCTGGTATGCGTTTGGCAGTGTCGAAGGTATCCGAACCCAATAGCACGTCCAGTCCAATTCCGAGACTCTGGAATGCGCACCATCAAAATCATTAGCGAGCGGACTCAGCGGAGACGTGCAAAAGCCAACCAAATAAGATCTGTAAGGTCCTCTTGGGGAATTTTATTGCACCTTCATTTCATTGAACTCTACCTTATACGTACGTGTATAGAAATGCAATGGAAGTCGATGGAGCACTGCGTTACGACTTGAAAGTATTTCTGAGGGAGTCATACATAGAGATGCTATTAGCTGAAGGAAGAGAGATGAATGGATGAATGGATGAATGGATGGGTGGATAAGTATGTCTAAATAACAATGTGCTGTGCTGTGCTGTGCTGATAACGATGACCTCCTGCGCCTAATGAAGACAAGAAAAAAACCTAAGTGCTGGAAGTGGAGAAAGGTGACCAAACATGGGGCTGTACTGCTGTACGATCGATAGCCGCCGACGATGGGTGGAGTTCCGGGAAATGCAGCGCACGCAGGACTCTGAGTCCGCACAGACAGATAAGCCAATCAACTTGCGGCGGACAGTCGATGCACTCTAAGAATCCAAACGAACAAGACTAGACGAGAAAAACATGGGGGCGGAGATGTAACGCGGCCTAAGCCTCGGAGGCATGAATCGAGAGGTGAAGGAAAGGGACAGAAGCAAGAAGAGTACATAATGTGTCTTGCGCCAATCCAATGCAAAAAGCCAGGGGGAAATATCATCCAAAGAAAAAGAGCGACCACGGGCGCCATCAGTGCATTGGAGGCCGGGGCCACATGTCGAGGCCGCAGACACTGGGGCTAAAATCTGCATTTGCAAAATGCAAGTCGCTGAATTAATGCATGGTCATTGGACACAGGAAACGCCATCCAACATGAGGAGAGGGTCAGGCAAGCGGCCCGATGCGCTGCGAGAGGGAAAAAGTCTTCGTTGTCCGGATGTATGTACCTCCAATGTCCGTACGTGTATGAGCGGGATGCAGAAGCGCCGAGGTCTTTATCAACCAACGCTAGGATTGCAGATGCGTTGTTTGTTGTGGGGTTTGCGGATTGTGGTCTGTCCGAGCAGGCATAGGCTAATTGATTGCCCGCATGGAGCTTTCTATGCGTGACTTCTGCTGCTTTACTTTCCGTAATATACGAAAATAATCGGTGAAGAGCCTTCGGGCGGGGTAACGGTGCAGATGAGATATGCGGCATGTCTGATGGAGAAGAATGAACGAGCTCCGAGAGGAGCAGGTGGTGTGCGGAAGATAGGTGTGGCTGGAGATATCTCTCATGGCTCTAATTTTCCCTCTTCCACTTCACTTGTGGCTGTGCTCAGTACAGGGTCTTCGAACCACCCATTTCTCCCACATTTTCCGCTGCGAATAACTCACCGCCACGCCGTCATCTCCAAGCGCGTCTGCACTGTCTGGGTAGCCGGTGCGACCATTACAGTTGCACCATGGCACCGACGCTGGCGTGTCTGGAGAGAGTGGGGGAAAATCCATATTGCCTCCTTGCTCCGGCTCGTCCGAGCCCGCCTCCGAATCGGAATCGTCTCGCGAACCTTCACTGTCATCATCACCGTGATGAGGATCTGGTATGTCGTCTTCTGTGTCACCGTGAGGATCCCAGTCGTCACTTTCGTCGTCACTGTCACTACCGCCACCTGGAGGGTCGTCGGGGACTTCGGCGCCGAGCACCCATTGTTCGTCGAAGTGCTTTTCATAGTCGATCCTCCGTAGACTCACCCAATCTAACCTGGCCATGTCGTTGCGAAGGTAGGCAAGCACATCTTTCCACCGGCTGCCATCTTTCAACAACACGTCTCTTAGCCTTAAGCCTCGAAGCCGTTCTCGGTGCCGCCGAGCTAATGCAATTATCTCATCTGCATCGAGTCTCCATGCTTGTATCCCAAAAGCTAACAGCTTGTCCCACTTCACATTGTGAAATATCTCTTCTAATTTTAGGCTTAACGGCCTATGCGAGGGAAATCCTATATGCACCGCTTGCATATTCTTGGCAGCGTTGAACACGACCCGAGACAGAGTGGAGAGTTCCCTCATCCGATTGTCCAGATCCGTTCCGTCGTCAAAGTGCAACTCTAGGCAAGTGAGACGCTCTGCAAGGACTGCAAACGTGTTTGGGGGATCGTTTGCTAAGCCTAGAGCACTCTGAGGACTGAGCATGGGCGATGAGAAACGTGTGCAGGGGGATCTTGAGGCGAGAAGTGCCGCCCCAATGGTTTTGGTAGAATGAGAGCAGGCTGGCGGCCACTTTAATTCGACTAGCTGGTTGAGCTGGTCATGCTGACGTATGTAGGAGATAAGCATGCCATCCTCCTGATCCTGCAACCGAAGGATCTGCACGTGTTGCAGAGAAGTGAATGCGGAGATGGCCTTGTTCAAGACTCGGACATCCTCCTTGGTCTGGACGATCTCCTTTTGCTCATTGACCTTACGCACAAAGTGTCTGACGTCTAAGAAGCCGAGACTCTCCGGTAAGGAAGGCAGTAGGTCCCGAACGCGTTCCCGCCCTATGAGCTGTTAGTCATGCGTGCACTTTCCAGAACGGGAAATTGGAGAGAACCCTCGACGTAGAAGAACGGCACCATGTAGCTGAATTTTTTAACATGCCGTGCAAGGTGCTCCTGCCCGGCAATGTTCTCTAGGCGCTTCAGGCCTTTCCTAGAGAATCGAGTGGTGACTCGCGCAAACTGGTGAACGGCGCCGAGTTCCGAGAATCTCTTGCACGTGAGCCGGAAGCTCGCGATGTTTTGAGCTTGGTCCCGGTCCGGTGGCGGCGGAGGCTTGAAACTCTCCTGCGAGAGATAGGCACGGCGATCGAGACTGACTAGCTTCTCAGGGTCCGATTCAATGTGGTCGAGGATCTCACGAAGAAGCTCGTTGGACAAGTTGAGGATGCCCATTATTTCGGGACGAGGACACCATTTACCACGGGACAAAACTGGCTACGGGTGGATCTTTGGCTCTGGTAGAGAGGGAAGAGCGAGCCGCCGCGCGGATTTATCTAACGGCTACGGCAGAAGGATCGGGCCGGGCGGCGTGGTAGCAGCAGGGGCGGCAAGGTGATAGCGGTGGACTCAGCTGGCGGCGTGGTGTTGTGGATGGTGATGCTTGATGCTTGACGGGGCCGCGTGAACGTGGAGCGGATGGAGGGGCACAGTAAGGAAGAAATAGAGCCCTGGAGCAAACGGAGCTGCGGGCTGTAACATGACCTCTCCTCCAGCGGTCAGCTAAGCGTTGATTGAAGGTGTGAAGAACTACTGGACACTTGGGAAAGCAGGCCTGCACCTTTGCGCATCCAAGCCCGTCTAACAACGACAAGCATAGCCCGCGGGCCAATGGGGGACAGCGAACTGTGCGCTTTAGGGTTTAGTGATCACATGACTGAATTTTCATGCAAAGGATGGAGCGGGAACAAATGGTTCCTCCCGAGCGAAAACACCTCGATTCATTGCTTGACACCACATGTCTGCGCCCAGGGGGACCCTTCCTTGCGCTGTTCTGATTTGAGGTCTAATCGCACGCTCCCCACATCGACCCGCAGCGCTCGAATCACACCCCGGGGTTACTGGATGCGTTGCCAGCGAAGCATGCAGCTCGTCAAGCGCCTGGGACTCCAATGGTCCTCCGGCGACATGACGAAGGGCACCCGATACCCGTCGACTTGGGTTTGCGTTATACCCACAGCCGAGAGCAGAGTGTCAGTGACGACACAAGAGCACAATAGCCTTGGAGGGCTGAAACGTGTTGCAGGGCTTGTCTGTGTGTAAACTCCGCTGCCACCGAGTTCTGACCAAGGCCGCTCCTCCACGAGCGTTTTTGGTAGTGTTGCGCGGTGAAGGATCGCTACGTGCATATGACTGCGGTCATCTCCCTCACGCGATATGCCTCACGCAGCCCGTCTCCCACGGAACGCCTCTGGCCCTTTCGAGAAGCGCCGTGGGCTCGGTATCGTCCCACTCCCTGTCCCCCATTGCAAGACCTACCCTTTGCATCATGCGGATCGGATCCATGAGGTGTCCGTGTGGCTTGACGGCACAGAGGCCCATGATCGTCGTACAGAAACAGCCCCCGGGCGATCTCTCAAACATCCAGGCTGAGCCATGAGACTTTAACTCGATGACCACCTGCCTACCAACTGCCACTCCAATGTCTATGGACATGTCTCATCCTCCTTACACAAGGCGAGTACAGCAGCCATGGCGTACGCGTAATGTCGTCCAGATATCACCGGGTATATCAAGCATGAGCTTGTGGTCTGGCCCGCTCGCTCTGCATTCGTCGAATTTCGGTGCTGCTCAACTTACTTTGAAACGTCTCGTCCAGCTTTTCCTCTTCGCCGGCGTCGAGGACATCAACCTCGAACACATCCAACGGACCCCACCCTCTTTCTGCCCGCTTGTCGTTGACAGCTTTGCCGCCACTTCTTGTCTCGCCCGAGATAACCAGTGCGGAAATGGATTCGTCGGTGATGGTGGGGCCAAAAGGATCCCATATTTCCACGTATTTGACCACGAGGTTGGACGGGTAGGTCACATGAACAGCATGGCCATTGGGTCCAGGGACCGTCATCTCCTCGATGTGGATTCTCCCATCGTCCGGATGTCCGAAGTGAATCACGGACGAGAGAAAGTCATGCGCGGCTTGTTGACGGTCCTGCCAGCTTTCCAGATACTCGGCATATTTCTTGTTTTTGAGGAGTTCATCACCGGTAATGCCAATAGTGAGGCTGCTTGGTTGTTTGTTGTCGTCGGCGGGTGACCTCCTTCCAAGCACAAAGGCAAACATGGTTAGTAGCAGCTTATGACCCATGTGTAGATGGTCAAAAGTGCCGCCAACTGCAACAGCGTGGTAATTCTTCGCTGCAATGACATCCTTGGCAGAGCCTAAAGGGGAAGGAGGGGACGAGACTGGGACAATACCGCCGCTGACTCTCAAAACCGTCCTCTCAGAAGGACTCAGGGCGAGGAAATTTTTCAAAATGACTTCCCCTTCTTCAGACTCGACCGAATAGACGGTCCCCCACGGTCGTGGACAGCGAGCGAGGGCATGCAGGCCAATAGCCGGGCCCTGGGCGTCTTGGTCGGCGCTTCCACGATCAGAGGGTTGGGCCAACTTCCCGTTGCGGGGATAGGCGACCAAGATGACGCGGGCGTCGACGCCTTCTGCATTCTCAGTATCGATGGAGTCCTTTGCCGCAAGGACACATAGGAGCTTGTAGAGGCCTGCGACCAGGCTCTGTGTGGATGCATATAAGGGGCCTCTCGGCGAGTTTAAGTTTCCATACAGGTGAGGACACGGTAATGCAATGTCGAGCATAGGCGGGGCATGCGATCTCTGAGGAGATCTGGAGAGCTTCTGCAGCACAGTGGACAGACACGCGCCATACGCCGTCTTCAAGGCTGCATAAGTTGGCGGTGACGGGGCAGGAGGAAGCAGCAGCAACGAGCGGTCGAGGTCCCTGTGCCGCAATGACATGGCGGTGAATTGTCGCACAACGATGGAAGAGAGAGGGTGGATGCTTGTCCTTGATATATATAGGGATCTATATAGGGCGTGAAGATGAATTGGCATGGAGTGACTATGCAGATGAGAATGTGGAGGGGGGGGAGGAGGGGGTCGGCTTTGAAGAGGAGCTTCAAGCCTCCTATGTACCCTGGCAGCCAGGTACATGTCTCGAGCGCCAGGCTGCTTACATATTTAGTCGGGGCCTGTGCGCTGCGCTGTCACTCGAATCCCAGCCCAAGATACACCATGGACGGCTTAACGTAGCGACTTCAGTCAACGTCAATCTCACATCTCCCAGCACGATGCCGTTCCACACGCACCACCAGCAAAGTGGCCAGGGCAGCAACAACTCGGCGTCTGCCATATATCACGCCGCGCAGACGTTAGGGTCGATTGGCGCACCGCCCCAAGTCCGAATGGCAGCATCAGGTATGACCAATGCAGGAACAGACGCGCTTTTGCCTGGGAGCGGGAACCCAGGAATACATTCATCGGCTGCTTCTGGAGGTGGCCTGCAAACCGCCCCTCCATCCGCGCCGGGCCTACCTCCACCGCACTCCACCAACCCCTCGTTCGAGACCCCGCGTCGAGCTCCTACGCTCGGAAGACCTGAGGAGCTTCACATTTCGACGTCAGCTGCGGCTCCAATGGGCCAGCAAACGTCCTCGCAAGGCCCCGCGCAAAAGCAACCCGGGCAGCAGCAGATGTACAATTCGCCGGATCAGTACTCGGCTGGCCCGAATATCAATCTGCAGCAGGCGACACCGCAGGGCTCATCTCATTATGCGAATCCACCTTCCTCCGCCTTGCCCGGTAGTCTACAGCCAGGGGGCAGCTCTCAAGGGCAGCAGCAGCGGCCGGGCCCCTCGGCCGCATACACGGCTCCTACCACTGTCCCAACCATGCCCCAGATCAACACGAACGCCAACCAGTACACCCTCCCTACCCGCTCGAACACCAACAATATTAATACGTCGCACTCCTATTCACGATCGAGTCCAGCTGGGCTAGAGCAGAAGTACATTCCCTTCTCCTCCAACACGCCGGATCCCAAGTACAGCGCAGGCACACCGGCCCAGAAATATTATCCCTCAACCCCCTCTGGTGCAGCTTCCAACTCTCCGCTGGGGCTGGCGGACATCAGGCCGCGAGCAAACTCGAATATGGTCGACGACCCGCTCAGCCAAGGACCTTATTTCAATGACAGCGACCGCATCCCCGGTAACTCTAACTATTTGGCGCCGTGGGGGGTGTGGGCTTTCGACTGGTGCAAGTGGAATACCCATGGCGGGAACAGTGCGGGGAAGATGGCCATCGGAAGCTATCTTGAGGACACACACAACTTCGTATGCTCTCCCCGCGAAGACGGTAAATTAAAGCTGACTTTTTCGGCGTAGATCCAGATCCTCGACACCCAGATCGTTCCCCAGGAAGTCTCGTCCCCTGGCGCCCCGCCATTCGGCCTCGAGTACACGCGCGTTGCTGAGGCGACATGCTCCTATCCCGTAACGCGCATACTCTGGGAGCCCCCTTCCTCTCAGAAACAGTCCACCGACCTCCTTGCTACCTCCGGAGACCACCTCCGGCTGTGGTCCCTACCCCAGCCTCCTGCCTCGACCATCAGCAACACAATCACTCGCTCCTCCTCTGTAAACACCCGGGAACCCGCACCCCAGAAATTGACCCCCCTCGCACTGCTCTCCAACTCTAAGACGCCCGAACATACCGCTCCCCTGACCTCGCTAGACTGGAACACCCTCTCCCCAAAGCTCATCATTACGTCGAGCATAGACACGACATGTACAATTTGGGATATACCTACCCTGACAGCAAAGACACAGCTCATTGCGCATGATAAAGAGGTCTTTGATGTGCGTTTCTGCGCCGGAAGTGTGGACGTATTTGTGTCATGTGGTGCGGACGGAAGCGTCCGAATGTTCGACCTCCGGAGCCTCGAGCACAGCACCATCATCTACGAGCCGTCAGAAAAGGCGCCCGGCGATAGATCAGACAAAGGTGTGCAACCCCCTTGACTCTTGTACTAACAACCCCGATTCTGTGAAGCTGACTGAATTTGCCTTAGGCTCACCGGGTCGCTTGTCCCCAACGAAAGCCCAACAGACCATGTCATATGCCCCGCCCCTTCTCCGCCTTTCCGCTTCACCGCACGATGCCCACCTCCTCGCTACCTTTGCCCAAGACTCCAACATTATTCGCATTCTTGATGTTCGACAACCAGGTCAAGCCTTGCTCGAACTTCGCGGCCATTCCGCATCTGTGAATTCCATTGAATGGAATCCATCACGGCGAGGAATGCTAGCCTCTGGCGCCGACGACTCGCTTGTCCTGATATGGGATCTGATACACAGCCAGAACGGCGCTGTGATAAATGGCGACACTCACACAACGCAGCCCCCCACCCCAGCTAGTGCGCATCCCTCAAACGGAGGCGCACAAAGTAATTCAGGGACGGTGGGTCAGAAAGGTCCATACCTGGCTTGGCGGTGTGATTACGAGGTGGGCAACCTAAGTTGGGCGCCGCAGAGTGCGTTGACGGGTCAAGGAGGGGAATGGGTCGGAGTTTGTGGTGGACGAGGAGTTTGGGGTGTCAAACTCTGAGTATGAATTCTTCTATTTGGGTTCTTTGTTATGTACCATTGATGAGGTCTGATCCTATACATGGTCAAGTAAAAGAGAGCGGGATTTCCGACCCCACTGAAAGAGGCTGCGAGTCTTGGACGAACCCTTGGAATCAAGCCAAAAGCCACGGCGGCATCCTCCACGAGATGAGGGGCTTTGGACGTGAGCAATTCAGGGGAGTGATTAGGTGATCCTCCTGCTGTATTCGAAATCATGCTGGACGCGTTTGTGAGCTAGCATTTGACGCTGCCATGAACAAGCCATGAGGTACTCTGTCCTAGGTCAGTCGGTTTAAGAGGTCAAGATGGATCTAACAGTCAAGGTGAAGAAGGATAAATCTGCTTATTATTTATGATTCTGTACACCAACCTCGGATTCTTCCCTGATCTCCTTTACGCCGCATAGAGACCACCTGTTTACAGTATATAAGCGTGGCATTAGTGTTGGGTAACATATGAGCCTACCCTCGTCACCTCGAAGGACTGGGCGAGTACCTACCTTGTAATCAACAGCCTAAGTGTCTCGAATAAATGGAACCATGAACAGTTGTTCGGTGCTTGGGCGAAACGCTTATCAACCAACACGATTTTGAAAAGTAGGTTTCCTTACCTGTCTATTCAGCAAAGCATAAGCATGAGCAGCCGTTCAAGGACGCGTACGTTGGCGCCTTGGCCTTGAATATCCGCCTAATGCCAAGGAAGGAAGTTGCCTGATGCCAAGGGTGGAAGGGCAATACTACCAAGAAAAGATGTGGTGATGAAGGGAGTGGTGTTGAGGAGCTCCTTAACACCCTAAAATAGCTCCGTTACGAAAGCGACTTTGGCTGTGCGAATCTAGTCGAAGACTTTCCACCGAGGCCAACTCATCGCCATTCATCTTACAGTTTGTGACCGGCACAGCAGCTTTTTGCAGCCTGCAGTGTTCATATTTCCAGCCACAGAGCCAGCCACGGAGTAAGCGCTTAGCCACGATGCTGCTTGGCAGCGCCTGTCGTCGCGCTCTGGCCTTCTTCGCAACGGGCCCCGAAAAGCGCTTTAAGAAACTTTCCCTCGACATCGGAGATGAACTTGGACTGTTGAGAATATCACTCTATCCGACCAACTCATGGCTTGGCACTTCTTTCCAGACCCTTCAACTGGGTTCCTCCGTTTCACAGGCCAGCCTCTTGTTGCGTTTCTTCTGGTTTAGGTGGAGCTAGCCTGTGCTACCAGCGGAGAGTTGCGTTGTCAGTGTGCCTTGGCAAAGACACACTTCGGCGTTTAGCGTTTGGATACCCGCCGGGGCTTCCGTTCAACAGCACTTTACGCCCTCGGGAACATCGGAAAGGTGACGACGGAAACCTGTGGCTGAAGTTCGAATTCTTGGTGTCCGAGAGGCCGGAGATGCCTGCTCGGCTTCTGAACAAGATACTGACATGCCCAGCCGTGCCAAGTTGTTTCCAAGAGTGGGCAACGGTTTCAGAGGCGCTGCAATTTCCTTCAGTGCGTTGGCGAAGGATCCAGTGGTGGGAGAAAGTTTGCGAGGTACTAGTTAGATGGTACGGTTCTCTCGTGAGGTTCATACTCAAGATGAAAACTTTAAAGAAGGTAGGTATGGTGTAGAAGTTGGTTGGGCTTTTCTTTCACAAGTCAACCGTGCACTTTAAGATTTCGATCTCCACGCCTCCTCCGCTTTCTTCCAGCCAATGCGCCACATAATTGAATCCTGTCGCTTGATCACACACGTTCTTCACCCGTTCTTCCACGCTGGACCAAGCACATGCCCTCACCCACCCAAGTCAAACAAGGGGCCTAAGCACCTGTCTCAAATGCTTGACTCTGATTGATTGCACAGCGAAAACCGCCGGCTTAGCTAGCTTCTTCTTAGCAGACGATAACTTGGCAAAGTTTGGCCTGGGGTGTCTGTATGCACCCATCACCAGTTCTCTTCGAATCCCTTTAGAATATGAGGGGCAGGAGGCTGTCTTGTCTGTATGACTTGGCTTGCAGGCTTCTCTTGGCTTCAGCAGCGGACAGAGAAGACGCGGAGGGCGCAGTTAGATCTGATGATTATATCTACGACTTGGTAATCACGTCCTCTCTTCAGCCAGCACCTTTTTTCTCCTCGTCGTGTCTGTGTGTGCGTCTTACCTTCTCAGCCTCCGCTCGGCTCAGCCCTTTCCCTTCTTCGCCTCACATAATCTTACACCGACACCCGACAGGTAGATCCTGGAGGCTTGAATTTCCGCATTCATATTCCGTCGCTCTTTTTGCACGTTGATCGTTGCATTTCCTTCTTCACTATATAAACTATCTTCCTCATTCACTCACTCCATTATCATTCGATACTCCACTTTTCCCAAGCTTGTCCATTCCTCTTCTCTCTTTATCTTACCAACACATTCGTTGTTCTTCTCTGCTCTATTTTACTTGTAATACATTCACACTCTTAATCATGCTTCTCCAATACCTCCTGCTGGCCTCCACGGCATCCGCAACCTGCCTTCATGGACTGACAAAGTTCAAACGCGCGGAAGAAGGCGAAGGCGTCCAAGTTGGCACCTTTGGATACACTGGATTAAAAGGACCTTTGAACTGGGCTTCCCTCGCACCAGAGAACCAAGCTTGCAAGACTGGAAAACAGCAATCGCCTATCAACATCGGTACATGCCCTTTCTACCTTCATCGGGTCTCCTCCGCTCGCTTCACGACATATACTAACGCAAGATTGTAGACGACTCAATATCCCTCGCAACCGAGGCCCCCGTCCTCGATATCCCGGAACAGAAAGTCGAGTTCGAGAACCTCGGCACTACTGTCGAAGTGATTGTAAATGGTACGACTAAGTTCGCAGGCCAGGACTTTCGGCTCAAGCAATTCCATCTCCATACACCGTCAGAACATCGTATCGGAGAGGAGTATTTCCCATTGGAAATGCATATGGTGCATGAAGGTGTCAGTAAGTAATCCCGCCTATGGTTTATCTTCCTTCCCACTCCGCATTCTCCCACATCGCATTCTTCCTTGTCGCCGATCCCGGTTAGGATCGCAAAGCCATGCGTTTCAACCTACGACACTTCCGCAATACTTTAGGCATATCCATTTGTTTTCACAACCCATGATTCCATTGGTAGCTTGTAAGCTAATTAGATATCCTCCTAGCCGATCCAAATGCCCTTGCCGTCATCAGCGTTCTCTTCCAACTCTGCACCGGTGCCCCCAGCCCCCTCATCGCGGGCCTACAACCCCATCTCTCCGCCATCGCAACTCCCGGCACCAAGACTGAGATCGAATCCCTCGATTTCGAAGCCCTGATCGAGCACGTCCAAACCACGCCTCTCTTCCAGTACACCGGATCCCTGACTACGCCTCCCTGCGAAGAAGGCCTGACTTTCCTTGTCACCAAAGAGCCCTTGAAGGTTGATGTTGAGACTTTTAATGCAATTAAGGGCGTTGTCAAGTTTAACAGCAGGTACACCCAAAATACGCTAGGTCAAGAGAATTTGATTGCTGTTGCGGGTGTGGCCGGCACCGATCAACAGTTCAATGCTGAGCAGAAAGAGAGTGCACCGACGTCGACAGTGAAGGTGGAAGAAAGTGGGCCGATTACTAAGGGCCATACACTTGTCATCACTGAGATCCAGGGTCAGCCGACGAGTCTGTTGGGGGTTGTTGTTAAAAAGAACTAAGTCTGGGGAGTGAAAGGAGACCGAGATCAACGCGGAGGTTGATTGATTGGTTGGTTGTCCGTCTGTTATAGAAGTTGCCCATGTGTCAAGATATCTGTCCGGTTACATACTATGCAGCAGAGCATAGCATAGCGAGGTGTATGGAGCCGTTGTTGGAAAGAAGACATTGAATGCATAACATATATACTGGCATAAGGCGTTCCTTTATACAAGGTAAACTTACGTTCAGATAGCATATTTCCCTTTAATTATCGTAGGTTTTGCTCAGTAGATTTTATTTGTGTTCATTGTCAGGTTCTCCTCCATCCACATCTTCTAGTTTATTTATCCTTGTCGTCGACATTCACCCTTGTCTAATGCACCTACCAACAGCAGAACACACTACCTACTTCAACTTCTATATCATTCTCACCCCTCACAACATCCCACTCCTCTCCTCCCTCTCCACCGTCCCCCCTAAACCCAACATGTTTTCCAATTTCTTAGCCTGACGTCGCATCCAAACGGCCCTTCTGGCCCACTTGACCCCAAACCCAAGCATTCAAGCCTTCAACAAGCTTCCTGTTTCGTCTTGGCCTCCCCAAACCACCCCAAACCTTCCAAACACCGAGAGCCCCAAATAGACCAAATCGATTGACAAATGCTTGACCAAAAGCTTGATCGGCGCACTGTCGATCCGTCCACGTATCTGTTCCATCCGATTGCTCGGTTCTAGTCTCCCGAGGTTCTGGTTTGCGTACTGTGTCTGGGACCTTGGTTGTTTGGGGATTTGTCCACGGGGTTAGAAATTAGGGAACAAACAACTTGTGGCATACGACTAAAATGCACTAGCCACATCACTGAACAGCGATACCTTGTGTAATGATGGGTGCTTCAAAGCGCGGGGGAAGTTTGAAGTGACAGGTACATATTTTTTACAGACATAGACGACTGTGGTTTATGAGCATGCGTGAGGAGCATAGCTTGTTTAGAAGATAGGAATGAGTTACCGCGTCACTGTCATTTACTCAGAGCACTTAGACCTTATTATCGACACCTTGATACTTAATTTCCGTCTGGCTCACTCACACTCTCTGATTTTCTCATCGAGTGCGAGCAATACAAGCCAAACAAGCCAGACAGACTTCGCAATCGTGGTCTGCATATGATACAGCAACCAGGGGTAAAGCTCTACTATCACCAGAGTCACAGCTCCAAGAAACGATGCCAAAGAAAGAGAAAGACCTGCTAAAGCACCGTCAAAATAGAAACGCGATTCCGCGCGAGCCCACCCATGTAACATAACGCCAACCAGTTTATCAATTAGAGAGCCCCACAAGGAAAGAGAGAGGAAGTATAACCTGTGAAAGAAATACAAATGAAAAGAGAGGTGCCAAAAAAGAGATATTTGGTATTTCGAGCGCTAACGACCGAGTTCCACACGAGCGCCCAACATCGGATAAGAAGTGGATCGACCTATCATTCTCCTTGATCGATCCAGAAATAATTATAACCGGGATTGATATGCCCTGGATGATTGACTGTAGGCTCAGGTAGCCTCGCTTCCCATAACGCCCGATTCTCTTCTCGCCGCAACCTGCGCTCTTCCGGATCTATGGGTTCATAGTGCACGTCCGAAGACGATCCTGAAGACGATGAACCGACGCCCTGTACCCCAGCTAGAGAGCTCGAGTTGCCGGCCTCAGTTCTAGCGCTGAATGGCATCAAAGGGCTCGTCGGTGTGCTGGTTTCTCCGAGTAATTCCGTTTCGTCCGACGCAGACCGACGGCGCAAACGCTCCATTTTCCGTCGCAAACATCTTCGTTCAGGCTCGTCCGCCAATTTGTACTTGTCGATCAGGCCGAAATAATCCAAGTTTCTCTTGAAGGAGTTCGATATTATTAGTGTACCAACCTCCTTCTTACCACATTCCTGGGCCTACAGGCGCAGTGTGTTAGTAACTTTGAGGGTATTGGTTTGCAGGCTGTGTGCCGTGAGTTAGTTGATGCCTAAAAATATAATATAAATGGCCCTGAGTTATAGATCACTCGGATACCATGGTGAACACATACTGGTGAGTTGAGCATGCTCTGCCTCTTGTTCCGGCTTTTCTTAATATGACTCTTTAGCGCACTAGAGTCGAGTGGCTTCAGGAGCTCGAAACTGCAGAGCAATTCTGCTGAAACTGACATGACAGCCCCCCAATTATCGAATTCGCCGCAATACTAATTGTGTTTAAAAAGGTATAACCACGCTAGGCAGGGAGGGTACTTACGTTTGGCGCAGAGAAGACCGTGACGAGAATACGATCGTTGAAGAATTCGTACCCATCTTCGACGACCATGTGCGCTCTGCAAACCAGATCGAAATCGTGCCGCTGCAGGAATTCCATGATGACCTTCTTCCCAAAACAATAGCTAACACCACGTTCATTTGACTCCCAATCATTCTCCATGTCTGCTGGGTCGCTCCATAGCAAGTCGTTCAGTAGTCCGTAGTCCGGAACGTCGGTAGGCCGAGCAATGTTTCGAATATCATCCATATGCGACAAGCTTGGGGAGAGGCCGCCATGGACACAGAAAATCTTCTGCGCAACAATAGACGCTATTGGTAGGGTGTTGAAAGTATCAACAAAGGCTTTCCAGACTTTGACGTTGCACCTTCGCTTGCACTCATCGTAGAAGCCATAGACACGGGTCACATTGGCGCATTCGTGATTGCCCCGCAAGAGGAAAAAGTTCTCAGGGAACTTAAGCTTGTAGCACATGAGTAGGAGAATCGTCTCCAGGCTCTGCTTCCCGCGATCCACGTAGTCACCGAGGAACAAGTAGTTTGAGTTTGGCGGGAATCCACACATCTCAAACATTCGAATGAGGTCCGTGTACTGTCCATGCACATCGCCAACAATCTTGACAGGAGGTGCGAGCTCCAACAGAGCGGGTTGGCTGAGGAAGACCTCGCGCACAGCCGAGCAGACAGCGAATATCTCAGCGTTCTTCAGGCACACCGTTTTTGTGACTTTCCCAGTATATGCGGCATCCAACAGTCGCTGGATCATGTCATCGAGATCCATAGCTTTCAGGGCGCTGATCTCCATGGGCGAGCCGGCACCATCGTTTGCCGACGGCGCTTCCGGGACTCTCGGAATGGGCTGGTCCTTCCTCTGTAGAATAGACTCACCGGGCAGCTGCGTGGACGACGGCGGCGGGACTCCGCTTGGTGGTGCGTCTGAGACATGGTCAACTTCTCCTGTCTGTTGGGCCCGATCCACAGACTCATGGCCGTGGCCGACCGAGGCACTGTGGACTGGAGATGGCGGGGGTTGTGGGCTCTCGGCCAGGGCGTCGGAACGCGCGGCAGCATCGATGGCAGAGGCCTGCGCAGAGGCACCAGACCCTCGGCGAGGTCGTTTTTCTGACTTGGTGCCATTGGCAGACTTTGTTGATGCAGCATCCGACTTGTCTACCGTGCCGTTGGTTGCAGTGTCGTTGCTGAGGCCAATGGTGGAGTTCCTCGGACTGTCCGTCTTGGTGCTGCCGGGAATCTTTGACTTGATAGAACTGCGAAGCGATCGAGCGGATTCCTTGGTGTCGGACCTGTCAAACGACCGATAGTTCTCGCGTTCGAGAGAAAGGCCCTCGATGGAGCCCTTGGCGCCCTCGCCTTTGTCCTTCTTGCTGCTGGACTGTTGATTGCCCATGACGGCGAGCTGCAAGCGGCGATAGGCTGCGTAGTGATGGAGACTCTGTGCGCGAAGACTTGTTAGGGAGGGCGATAGAGGCGCTGCAGAAAAGCGAGGAACCTGGCTTCGGCGGGGGCAGTCGCAATCCGCGCAGGGCAGTGACGGGGCTGGTCGGCGAGGAGAGGGGGGAAGAAGGAGTCGGCCGACGAAGGGATGTACCGTCTTCGAGCCAGATCGATGGTGTATTCTAATCAAATGGCGTAGGGTTGTGAGGCGGCGTTGATGGAATTGATGGGGCTCATGGGCTGCTGATATTGGTAACCTCAAGCTTTGAAAGCGGGCAGAGCGGGGAGCGAGCTAACACGCTGGACCAGACAAGCCGCAGGACCCTTAGTAATGAAAGCCAGGAGGCAATTACGCCGTCTTGAGACGCTCCTGAGAGGCGGCGCCGACGCAGGCCGGTGAGTGAGAAAGTTGCGTGGGCTGCAGGGGAGGGCCGTCACAAGCCCGCGAAGAGAGGTCGCAAAGGCGGTGAAAGCTGGGGAGTCGCGGGGCGGCGATGGCGGGAGCGTGCGAGGCAGGGCGGCGGAGAGAGGGTGCGGCGCGCAGGTCGAGATAGAAGTGCAAGACGTCTTCTCCAGCGAGCGTCACCGGGGTCGATGAAGTCGATGCTCTGTCTGATTTGCCCAATTCTGCAGGCCGTGGTGTGCCAAGGTGCCCCGGCGTTGGCAGCTTGGGCTGGGGTTAAAACACTACACAAAGCCCGACCTGTGAGTCTTTCTCTTGCTCAAGCATGTCACAAATCTAAGATAGGAGCCATCCTTGATCTGCTTCGACCTCTCACCGCACACTGTGATTAATTCACGCCCAACGATCCAGTCACGCGCGCTCCTCCCAATCCCAGTAGCGCATCCACGTTCCCCCGACACCGACCCCAAGCGTCACTCATCGTCATGCCCCCCACTGATTGATTGATGTCCCACGACAGCGGGGCAGCGAGGCAATTCATCCTCCGCTCTTGTCTGGACCCGGATGAAACCCCCGTCTGTTTGACCCTGCACTTCGCTCTTAAGATATCCTCCCAAAATCTCTGAAATATCTCACGCCTGGCCCGGAGCGAATTCCCATGCCGCAGCCCCAACTTCTGTCAGAACGCTGTTCCGTCGCCACACCTCTGCTTTTCAGCTCTCGCGTACCTGCATGTTGCGCTAGCGTCACGAGATTCAGCTCAGTTCGTCGCTCACTTTGCCATTGCTGATTGGAATTCTGCGTCAATTGTGCACTACACGTCCACTACCGGCCACGAAAACCTAACATGTTCCAAGCCATGGCGCCAAGCGCGAATTCCGAGAACAAGGGCTTGGAAATGCATCTATTCCGGGGATATACATCTGTCCTCCGACTGCTATTGGTGAGGGCTCCTTGCGATATTGCCCCTCTAAGCTCTGTCCGAACCTTTTCGAGTCTACTCCCTAACCTCTGTCCTACAACTTCGTGCCAAGATTGACATGAACGGCCTGGGCGCATGTTAGTAAGCCGTCGGCAGTTAATAAAGTGTACATCAAATATCTCTCGTACCTTCTTGTTTGTATATCCCTCCAGTCCTGCCTCACCAAGTTCCCTTCCAATGCCACTTTGCTTCACACCTCCGAACGGAATCCGCAGGTCTGAATCATTGCTTGAGTTTATCCAGACCATGCCAGCCTCGATGAGCCTTGCTACGCGGTGAGCCTTGGCAATATTCTGGGTGAACACCGCGGCCCCCAAACCATATGTAGTGTCATTGGCACGTTCGATGGCCTCCTCTTCAGTTTTGAAAGAGCTGATCACAACGAAGGGCCCAAATACCTCCTCACGGTAGACCTTCATTGTGTCTTTGACGTTGGTAAAGATGGTGGGCGAGATGAAAAAACCCTTTCCACCAACATCTTTGAACACCTCCCCACCCGCTTCTAATGTAGCACCCTCCGACTTCGCAGATTCGATATAGGAAAGCACTCTCTCAAACTGTGTCTTCGTAACTTGCGGGCCTTGGAAGGTATCGTCTTTGAATGGATCCCCGACAATGCTAGCCTGAGCTACGTACTCTTTGAACCCTTTGACGAACTGCTCATATACGCCTTCCTGAACAAGAATCCTCGACGTAGCCGTGCACACCTGACCTTGGTTATGCATGATGCCAATGTGCGACCATTTCACGGCTTGGTCGAGATCAGCGTCATCGAAGACCAGCAGCGGCGATTTGCCGCCAGTTTCTAGTGTAATATTCTTCATGTTCACTGCTGCCATTTTCATAATTTCCTTTCCAGTGGCGGTCGATCCAGTGAAGGCAATCTTGTCAATATCAAGATGCATAGCCATTGCAGCACCAGCTTTGCGACCCTCCCCATTGAGGATATTGATCACGCCAGGTGGGAACCCTGCCTCTTTAACTAAGGTTGCCAGATAGAGGATTGATAGCGGAGTCTGTTCGGCAGCCTTTAGGACAACGGTGTTACCTGTGCAGAGTGCCGGGCCTAGCTTCCATGCCGCCATAGCCAGTGGGTAATTCCATCTACTTGCGTTAACAGAAAAGCGTAGTGAGGGCAAGCTAACTTACGGAATGATCTGTGCGCAAACACCCAACGGCTCGCGGATTGTGTATGCAAGTTTGGCCGGAGACGTGTCAATGACTTGGCCGTGAATCTTGTTCGCATACCCAGCATAATATTTGATAGTTCCTGTAACTTCCGGAAGATCTTCATTCAAGGCGACAGAGTAGGGTTTCCCATTATCCCATGTCTCAATCGTTGCTAGAGTCTCTTTGTGCTGCTCGATAAGTTCAGCAAATTTATACATGACGTCCCCGCGAGCAGTCGTATCCATGTCACGCCATGAAGGGTCCTTGAAAGCTTTTCGGGCAGCCGCAACGGCGATGTCGACGTCTTCTGGCCCAGCAGCATAGACTGAGGTTATCTCACTTTCATCGCTAAATGTCTATTAGCGCTCGGGTTCAGAAACCTGCTCACATGACTTCTCGATACCTCGGGTTGATAGAAGTAATCGTCTCCCCAGATTTTGACTGGATAAACTCGTTATTGATGAACAAGCCCCGCGGCTGCGTATACTTGCGGCCATTTGGAGCCGTTAATTCGACGAAAAGGTCAGACATGCTTCCTTGACTACTTATGCGCCTTGCAAAGGACAAAGGGTTGTAGTGGCGCGGTCTAAGGAACGAAGGCTGGCGCAGGGAATGGATTGCAGCTCGAGAGAGGTGAAGGTAAAGATAGGACATGTTACTCGGCACGCATGGGAGAAGGTGTAGTTATCAGTGGGTAGATGCCCCAGTCAGTAGTTCAGCAGCCGTCGATCCTGCAGCTTAATTCCGCGCGTTGGGTAACACTGTGGGAGGATCTGCGAATTACCCCGCCATATGATGATACGTGCACGATACGTTGACCGGAAGAGGCAATCAGATCCTGCTGCACTTGTTCATGCATGCAGCCGAAGAACGAACAAAATTCAATGAGCGTCTTGCTCAATATTCCCTGTTTGTCGTCGTTGAAGCCCCGCGTGTTCGAGACTACTGAAATCTTCCATTCCAAATGCTAAAAGCTATGGTCATTAGTTCAGGACGGCAAGACTGGGTCCAATAGCCCGGTGCATGAAGCCTGATATGCAATCGGAGGTTGCTGGGCTCTCTTCGACGATGCAAGCACGGCTTCATCAAATATTTAGAAATAGATATTTGCATCGTGACTAGGGATAGCATGTTTAGTGGGAGGAGTGATATTTTTTTACGAGGAAGATTTGATCATCACTAGAACAGACGATAGGTTCAGGATTCTGCTCAGGAAGGCAGAATTTCTCCAAGGAATGGCTTCCTGTGCGGACGGAGGCTTTGAAGCCGGCGTGAGGAGTGAAATATCAGATATACCCCGCGATGGCTTCGGCTAGGCTCTTCTGCTCTTAATTTCGGCGAGAACTAAGAATTTAGCTCACTATGTGATGAGCGTGCTGTGAACCCCAAACTCCGATCCAAGCATAGGGACTCTGTGCCCACCTTAACTCCAACCCCATTCAATATCCGCCGTCGCCATGCACACCTCTTCCGCCGTGTGTCCCTTAAACAGATCATCCATGGGTGACCAACAACTACAATTGGTCGACGACAATATCCCCCGTTTCCATGAACTTAAGGATCGTACCTAGCTTCATTAAAGGAAGAAGAGCTTCTGTCTGAGCTGCCTCAATGCTGGTCGGCTGCATGCCCTTCATTTCTTTGTCTTCTGTAGGTGATGGCTCCGAACTCGATGCATCTCCACCTTGCTCGTCGTCGGATGATTCCTCATCTTTTATCGCCGTGTCAAATACCCACTTGCCAGCACTATTCCAGAGAGCTGTAATGTCATTTTGAGATAGATTTCCCTTAACCCGCTTTACACCCCCAATAATCCTTTTCCTGTTTCCGTCTTCATCGTCAGCGTCATCACCATCATCATCGTCGTCGTCCTTCATCTTAATATCTTGATCATCAATAGATGGGTCTTTCTTAACATCAACTCCGAAGTCGTCAACCCCCTCACAGAATTCAGCTGCTTTCTTTAGGCGCTCTAGTATCCATTTCTCATCACCGGGCTCGGGCTTTTTGCGCACAAGGGCAGCAGAGAGTCCCTCGAGCCGCTCAGCTGGAAATGGTGGTACAGGGTAGGGGTACAAATATTGTAGAAGCTCGGAATTTTCAGATATGAGTTTTTGGATGGTTGAGAGATGGCTATTCAAGAGGGATGAGGCCCGTTGGACGGTTGGCCTGAGTGAATATTAGTCATGTGATATTGCAGAAACAGACGGAGGATCGGGTAAGCTCAGGGGCCACGAGATAAGCCTACCCGAAAAAGATAGGAGGACAGTATGTACGATACTCGTGATGGAGAGAGAATGAAGGGTAAGGCAGAGGGCTTGATCTATGTAAAGGATAGGCTTTCATTCAAAGAGGAAAAAAAGTCACATAAAGTCAAGGAAAGAGAATTTAAACCAAAATATTGCCTAGAATCTGAAATAAGGGGATTTAGCACTCACCATTTCAGCAGGCCGTCGGGTGACGCAGCAATCTCATTCTGAAGCTGCTGGAGGTTGTACGCCAGAGGCATCAAGCGTGCCCGCAACGTCTCCAGCGTTTTGATATCGTCTCCAGAAAGGTTAATAACTGCGTTATGATTCATCGTGATAGATTGGCCGCTCTGCGGTCGATGAATTCGATAGTCGCTGTTAGACTATGTGAGAGGCAGGTGTGTGATCGGCTAGGGTGGAAGCTTATTGGTGTTTACGTCGTGAACGGTCCGAAGAAAATAAAAGGCTTGGCGCTTTGCTCCGAAAGAGATCGATTGGCGTCAATGCCAACCTCACCACCTATTCACGGCTTGCGCGTCGCATAGTGAATGCAACTAGCTACGACGATGGACTGGTGCCATCTAATGAATTTATTTATATACTTTCTCCAACCCTCAGAGTCCACTCTCAGCGCTCCAGCTACGAGCCATAAATCAATTCCCTCTAATATAGTGAAAGGCACATCTATTGTTTGAAATAATGGCTTCTTCCTGAGCTGGAAAATTCAATCGATACCATTCACGTATTTTACAAGATGGATTGCCACTTTCCCAGCCCCTAACTAACCCACTGTGGGGTATCATGGCCTCTGGCAGCTTAGCGTTTCACAGCCAAGGAGGAACAGGAAGGGATATGTTACTATGGTTCCAACTTACATACCATCATGAAGATCACAGGTCAGCTCGAGCACCTTAACAAATCCGTTCATTTGCACGACGTAGCTTGGCGTACCGTAGCCCTCTAAACCGTAGGCTTGAATATACTACGATAAGGTAGGTGCAGGTTTAATCGGGTTTGACAATATCGATATTCGATTAGAGTAACGATCATTCTTTTAGCAAGACTTGTGTGGATTAGAGGCTCGGTGATGTGTCGTAGGAATACTACCGTTCAAAGACAAACTGTAGCAACTCATAGTAATATATTGTAGCGTTAATAAGAGCATGTGAACTCCTGGTGTAGAATAATTCACAGTTTTCGCTCCACATCCGTTATTGAATGAATGTGGGGTATCTAAAATTGCCGAGGTTTAAGGACTAATACCGGTGATTCATCCTTCCTTTGCATCTCCTCCCTTGGGTGTGTTCCTGATCAAGAGAATACGCCTCAAGCCCCAACCAATCATATAATCTCGCAAACTGTATTAATTCACCTTATATTCACTTAGAACCCTAACTTTACGGAGATTCACCACTGCTACGAGGTGGCAATGGCCTGTTTGATACTCAGCACCCCTCCTTCCCCCTTCCTTCCTTATCAACACTTACGAGCCAGATGAATAATCTACTGTAAAGACCTACTATTGAAAATATGGACTTTCTAGCAACCGAAGATGATACTGCCCGTTTAGATATTCACTTCCGCCTTCACTCTTCGCCAGCCATCTCAGACTTGACTCTACATTCCTATTGTACTTAGACAACATTAGAGAGCAAGTAAACGCGATACCTATAGAGGATACTATTTTCCCTCAAACACGGCGGCTTAGGTTACCTCTCAATACTTCACTCTGCACTAATCCACAGAAAGCTCAGCTCAGAAACTCTTCGCTCCACACCAATCCTTTGGACTTAATTCATCTCACTGCTATCTTCGATCACTTACATACCTCAATACTCTAGACTCTCCTCTCCGCCATGCCCCTCGTAAGCTCTGCTGTTGAGGGGTCTACACTACTAATGCTGGCAAATGCTTCTACTAGAGTCAAACATCTGACGAATTCAAGATCGAGATTCTCCAGCATTACGTTTGTCAGCCACACGACTACGTGTACCACTCCTCCCTTGAAAGCAGATACAGCCGCATGAAACTATCAAAGCCAAAGGTTTGTGAGGTGATCAATAGTTTGGGTTCTTGGAGAGGTCTGCTCAGAATTAACCATCAAACTCGGACTGTCATTCTTGACCTGACCTCCAATCGCAACATGCTGTACCCTAAGGACCCCTGTGCTGTAACACTTAAACCACATATGTTGGGAGAAGATATGAAATGTTTAAGTCAACAGTACTAAGAAATCGAATTCAACAATTTTGGTAGCAACCGTTATTCGGCTATGCTAGCTCAAGTGTACAGAGAGCACCCAAAGATGTACCCTCACCTCAATCAATGCTCAAAGCTAAGTAAGGCCTATGAAGCCTTTATATATCATTCGACTAGGTTGCGACCCTGCACTTCTCAAGGTTTCCGCTGGTGGACCGGGAACTTTCCGACCGCGCCATTACATCACCTGTGATGTTTTCGACAGGCTTTTGCACCTAGTGGGCATCGTGATGACGCTTCCGGAAGGACGCTTCCAGATCAGACCATTTCGGTTCGGGCGTATCGCTTTGGCATGAAGATAGGGGTTGATCTCGTCAACTCCACCGATAGATCTACGGACGCGCAGCCCAAATCTTCGCCCCAGTTAAGGATATCACTGTCGATCGATTCCTCGACCAGGAGGTACGTACCAGATTTAAAAGACTCCTCTCAGATGCAAGGCTTCCATTAAAATTTCGGCTCTAGATATAGAGGACAAATATGGTGGGGCGGACAGTAGTCTAGCTTGAGGAAGAAGATATTGTACCTGATTCTAAGGAATACGAGAAGTTCGATGACATTAGAGTTGATTTCGGTCTCCTTCCTCCACAGTGTGGGAGCCCATGGCGGTGAAAGCAAATCATCTCCTGGGCTTGAGTTGGAGTCGTTGGGGAAGCGAAAGGGCTAGGAATTCATCTTACGTAGGCCTAGAGCTAGATGCAAGAAGAGTGGCTATTTGCATACCTTATATTCATAATGATTTTCGGCGGCTCTCAAAACAATCAAATCTCTTATCTCAGCTAGCTCAGCCGATTGGGGAGAGAAGGGGCGAAGCTCCGACAGGGGCAGAGCCCCTGATACCCTTGCTAGTCAACATAAACCCATGCTAGTCGCGCCGGTGGCGCTCACGCTATCTTTCTAGCTAATAAGGATGCTAGATTTAGCTTCTCTCCCTAGCTATCTAAGAGACTTTAGTAATTAATTATATAAATAACTAATTTTAGTGCTTACTTTTTATATAAAAATATATTATATTAATATTTACACATTTTTTCTTCTCTTTAAACATCTTTAAACTTTAGGCTAATAGCTATGCAACTTCTTACTATTATCTATTAAATTATTACGTGTTTTGCATGTTGTTTACTGTATAAAATAGCTAATAAGTCTACTAGTCCTACCCTGCGTCTACGCTAGCATTTATAACCTTTTTATTTTTCTTTAGCAGATAAGCTGCTACTTTTTTTATTATTACTTTTATTATTACCTTTTCTTATGTTTTTTTTGCCTTTATTTATAGTTGCTGCTAAGCCTTAAGCCTTAGTTTTAATAACTTATTTCTTTATAACTTTATAAGTAGTAGGCGTGTCTACTTAGTGTATCTAGCTGTCTGCACTTATTTACACTCTAAAATTAAAGAAACTAGAGTAAGTTCTAGTGTTAATAAATAAGCTATAGATGCTAATAAGTAAATTTATTAAGTTATATTTATAAAACCTACTATTATTAAAGGCCTTACTGCTTAGTAGATATAAAATAATTTTTTAATTAGCACTAAAAAAGCTAAATATTTATGTAGTGTTAAGTAAAGATAATAAAGCTACTAGTGTCCTTAGTTTTATTTTATTTATAAAAAAACTTAATAGTTTTGTTAAGCAGAAGTTCTTTAACTAGTATAATATAGCCTTTAGGCTAGATAAGGTTAATTTTACTAAGTTAAAGTTAATTATAGCTAATTAAGCTTTAAATTAAAGCAGGTTTATTAAAAAACTTTTATAAAATAAGTAAAGTGCTTAAAGTAGTTATAGTAAAGCTAAAAGTTTATAAAATAGTAAAGTGTATCTAATTACTTCTATTATCTTACATTACTAGGCCTAGAAGAGATGCAACTACCTTGCCTACCTACTAAGTCTATATTTACATAGTAGTAGTATAAAATAGCGTGTTATAAAGATATTATTAGGCTTAGGTGTTTATAACTTATATAAGATTATAAACTAGAAAGTTAATAAAATAGTAGACTATATAAAAAGCTTATAAGTTATAATATTATGTTATATAGCTTATGTTTTACTTAATTTTAGGCTACTAGGTCTTACGCATAATCCTTAGTTAATAATTATGTATAATAATTATAACTTTACTAACTAGACTTGTAACTACACTGTAGGCGTTGCAATAGCTATCTAGCAGAACCTAACAATAGCGCTTATTATAAGATGTCTATAGATCTTTAAGAATAGTTTAACCTAGTCTATGTTTAATTCTAGCATAGCATTGCAGCCTAATTAGATCTGTATAGCGCCTAGCATAATTTAAGACTATATAAGCAAGCAAATTACATTGTGCTATATGTTATGCGCTGTAGCTACTATCTACAGTGCTGCTATATTAAAGGTCTTTGTTAGCTTAAAAGACTAGTTACTGTTAATACTAGCTATTAAAGTCCTACTATGTAAAAAACTTAGCTAGGTAAATTATCTAAAAGTAATATTCTTTAATAAAGGCGTTATTAATAAGACTTATAAAGTACATAATAATATTTAGCTTTAGTAGTTAAATATTTTTATAAATCTAAAAAAGCTAAGCTTTAAAACATAGCTATAGATAGTATAAAGTAACTAGAAAACTACTAAGTTTATATGTAGTTTTAAGAAAAAGCAGCGCAGCGCGTCCTAGCTATATAATAAAAGAAATTAAATAATTAAACTACTTATATATTTTTATATTTTTTAGGCACTTACTTACATAATTGTTTATACGCACTTTAATACACCTAAAGGTATAAACTTTTCTAGTAATTTTTTACATAATATTATGCGCTTAAACTATGCTAGTATTAATTAGAGTAATGTTAAGTATTATATAGCTGTGCTGCTAATACATCTAAGCTAGGGCACCTAAATAGTTATGTTGTTTTACTAGAAAATAGGCAACAGTAGATATCTCTAAGGCTAGGTGCTAGATATCTATGCAGCAGATGTCTAGTAATACTAGTAGGGTCTCTATAATAAGGCTATTAGTTAGCTTTTACTTAACTAGTATATTAAGTTACTTAAGCAGATATATAAGAAAGTCTTTACACTTACTATGTAAAAAGGCTATAATAATTCTAAAAGTAACTAGATAATAACATGTTAGTTTTTTTAAAAAATTAAGATATTTTTTACTTTATAGTATATAGTTAAGTTTAGTAATATTAGAATTATTTATTACTTAATTAATCTATTAGCTATATTCTTCTTTAGATCTAGTTAGAAGCGCTATAGTACTAAGCTGCTATACCTCTGCTAGTTAGTCTTAGATAAGGTGTTAACTTTAACACTTTAGCAGTCTATACTTGCCTTTAAGTTAGTTAATGTACATAAGAAGCTAAACACCTTTTAAGTAGTTAATATTATACTTAAGCTTATAAACTACATATATAAGCTTAACATACAGCACTTTAAAAATAAAACTTATAACATAAACTTTACTTTTAGTTGTCTTACACTATTTTACTAGTTCTATATACAACTCTATGCGCTAATAAAGGGCGCCTTTAAAAAGAAGAGTAAGAATAAGTGTTATAGTTAGCATGCTTAAGCTACAAGCAAGAGGTGGTGTAACTTAACTAGATTAAACTAAGGAGCAGAGGAGCTGCTCTACAAGTTTAAATATACATGTGTGCCCCCTGCTAAGGCGCTACTTGTAGCACTAGCGTGCTACTTGTTGCGCAAGCGAGGGAGCTGATGCCGCAGAGCATGTGAGGCGGTACACGCCGTCACAATAAGTATATATAGTGTAATATTAAGCTAGAGACATTTGCCCTTACTATTTATCTGCTAAGTTGCAGGCGCTGTAAGCGCTTAACTAGTTAAATTAACTAAGGGCTCTTCTAGCTTATTATAAGCCCTAATATTATTACTAGTAGTATTAAGTTATTAATGTTAAAAGTTATAAACTTTAATGTTAGTAATGTTATATTTAGTAATTATATACTAGCACTAGATGTAACTAATTTAGTAAGCATTAGCGCAAAAGAGTTATGTTATATTAATGTAACAGAATTTGCAGAAATAGTTAAAGGCACAACTTATAGTAACTCTAAAGGTTTAGTTAATAATTTAATTAATAGTAATTTTAATAAGGGTCTTAATAAAGCCTTTAAAAATAAATAAAGTAATTATATATTTTTATTTTATATATACTTATAGTAAGCACTTTTGTAATGTATAATAGTGTTATAAAGCACTATTTACTTAGTGCAGCTAATTAAAC